CGAAACGTTAACTCTGTTTTCTCCTCCACAGAGCTGCCAGACCCTGTGGAACTGTAGAATCTTTACCCGAAAACAAAATCCCCTGTCTGGTCAGTCTGGGTGGCAATTATTACACCAAAAGAGAGAAATATGAAAGAATGTTGTGTTTCTGTATCTCTGGTGTTTATATCATTGTACATGCTCAACTGAAAAGGGACTTGAGGGCTCAATGAGTCAGACCTTACACCCTTACCTCTGGGATTTTGGTTCAAATCTTGTCTCAGTTAGTGAGATAAAACATTTGTGGTTGATTTTAATGGGTGGATAATTTAAATTGTCATCTTAGTTTGCAGAGGCACCAAACACACAACTACTGTATTTGGGAGAAAAACTGAAATTTCATATCAGCATTGAGATTTTATTTGGATCCAGATGTCCTTATGGAATATGGCCTAAAGAGCAGCTTCTGGCTTATATTGATTCTGCCACCTCTTTTACTTAGATATCATCAGCCATAGTCAGTTACATTTTGCTGTGCCAAAATATTGGCAGCATGCAATTCTGCCTAGCAACAGATGAGACGCTTACTGAAAATCTTGCAATAAGTCATTCAGGATAATTCAAAAATGGGTGCGAGAAGGTCAAAGGTTACAGTGGCGATGTGAGTGGTGGAGAGAGTGAGTGAGTTGCAGAATCTGTTTTGAAGTGATGCAGTTAGCTGTACTGCTCAGATGTCAGCTGAACCACATAGATTGTGTGTAGGGGACTCGCTGAGGAGTCAAGATCGGTTAACAGTAGTTAGAACACTGCAGGAAGTTCTAAGAATTTGTAGGCAACTAGATTCCGGACTCCGAGATCTGGAGAGCTGAGCAAGTGGAAAGAGAGCACAGCAAAGCCTGCAAGCGTTAAAACATCAGTGCAGCAGAGCAGTGGGAATGAAAAACTTCAGTGGTATTTGCTCAATACATCCTTTGGAACTCTCACCTTGTCTGCTTCAAAAATAAAAGTTGCTGGTCCCAGCCAGATCATAACATAAATTTGGTGGCCTGCTCCAGGATCATAAGTGTTGAACAAAAACAGAAGTTGTTGTAAAAACTCAACAGGTCTGGCAGCATCTGTGAAGAAAAAAATCAGAATTCACATTTCGGGTCCGGTGACCCTTCCTCAGAACTAGTGGTAGCTGGGAAAACGTTGGTTCTGTACAGAAGATAGGGAGAGGGATGGGGTAGGATAGACCCTGAAGAGAGAGGAGAGCAGTAGGATAGACAAGGAGGCTGAATAGCTGTTAATGGTGACTGTTACTGATTAACAATAGGTAGTGTGAAATGGCAGGCTATGTGATTACAAGGCCTAGGACATGGGAGAGTTTAGGCCCTAAAATTATTGAACTCTGTATTGAATCCAGAGGGCTGCAGGGTCCTCAAGCAGAAAATGAGGCGTTGTTCTTCCAGCTTGCACTGACCTTTGCTGGAACACTGCAGCAAGCCTGAGACAAGAGATGTTGGCCAGGGAACAGGGTGGTGTGTTAAAGTGGCAGGCAACAGGTAGCTCAGGGTCTTTTTTGCGAGCAGAACGTAGATGTTCTACAAAGAGGTCACCCAGTCTATGCTTCATTTCCTTTAATGTAGAGGAGACTACATTGTGAGCAATGAATGCAGTAGGCTAGATTGTGGGAAGTTTTGGTGAATTGTTGCTTCACCTGGAAGGTATGTTTGGGCCTTTGAATACTAGGGAGGGAGGGAGGGAGGGAGGAAGTAAATGGGCAGGTGTTACACCTTCACCAGTTTCAGGGGAAGATGCAGTGGGGCTGGGGGGAGTGTTGGGAGTGAAGGAAATGACCTCATTTCATCTGATCTCCCCAAATGCCTCCAAGCCGATCGTCCCCCAGCCCTGCACAGCTCACTTCTACCTCCTCCCAAAAATCCACTAACAGGACTGTCTGGACAGACAGACCCATCGTTTCAGCCTGCTCATGCCCCACAGAACTCATCTCTTCCTACCTTGACTCAGTCATCTCTCGCTCGGTCCAGTCCGTGTCAACCTACAACCGTGATCCCTCTGATACTTTATGCCAGTTTCAAAATTTCCAGTTTGCAGGCTCCTGCATGGATGTGCAATCCCTTTACACGTCCATTCCCCACCAGAATGGTCTTAGGGCTGTCTACTTTTTCTTGGAGCAAAGCCTGAACTGAGCCCACCCACCACCACCTTCCTCCACTCGGCCGAGCTCATCCTCACCCTCACAACTTCTCTTTTAACTGCTCTCATTTTCTTTAGGTCAGAGGGTTTGGCCACGGGTACCCGTATGAGCCCCAGTTTTGCCTGTCTTTTCATCGGGTACGTGCAACATTTCTTGTTCCAGTCCTATTCCAGCTCCCACCCACAACTCTTCCTTCGCTACATTGACGATACTGTTGGTGCTGCTTCCTTCTCTCGTCCGGAATTGGAAAAGTTCATCGATTTCACTTCCCATTTCCACCCTGCCCTCACTTTCACGTGGTCTATCTCTGACTGCTCCCTTCCCTTCCTTGACCTCTGTTTCCACTTCTGGGTATAGACTGGCCACTAATATCCACTATAAACTGACTCCCACAGGTACCTGGACTATACATCCTCACCCCCTGCTTCCTGTAAAGACTCCATGCCTTTCTCTCAGTTCCTCTGTCTCCATTGTATATATTTAGGTGAGGCCAACTTCGATAAGGGAGCTGCCGAAATGTCCACGTTCTTCCTCAACCAAGTCCGACCCATCCCCTCTCTTCCCTCCCACAATAACGATAGAGTTCCCCTTGTCCTTACCTACCATTCCCACCACATACAGATGATCATCAGATACCATTTCCATCACCTCCAGTGAGATGCCACCCCTCCCTCGTCTGCCTTCCGCAGGGACTGTTCCTCCGAGACACCCTGGTCCACTCTTCCTTCACTCTCAATACCAACCCCTCACAGCCCCATGACACCTTCTCCTGCAACTGGCAAAGGTGTAACACCTGCCCCTTTCCAGCAACTTCTGTTTTTGTTCCTGATCTACAACATTCGCTGTTCTTTCGGTTTTCATCATAAGTGTTGAGTCTGCACGGCTGTAAAATGCCTCTACAAATGACAGCCTGCTGATCCTCAAGCTTATATTGAGCTTTGCAGGATATGGGTAGATTTGTCAGCATGAATAATGTGGAGAATTAAATGACAGGCCACTGGAAACTTAGGGTCACATATTTGCAGTGAGCTGTACCACACAGTGGTCACCCAATCTGTTTAGGTCTCGTAATTGTTAAGGAAGACCATACAAGATGATCAGAGGATTAGATAGGGTGGACAGTGGGAGCCTTTTTCCTCGGATGGTGATGGCTAGCACGAGGGGACATAGCTTTAAATTGAGGGGTGATAGATATAGGACAGATGTCAGAGGTAGGTTCTTTACTCAGAGAGTAGTAAGGGCGTGGAATGCCCTGCCTGCAAAAATAGTAGACTCGCCCACTTTAAGGGCATTTAAATGGTCATTGGATAAACATATGGATGATGGAATAGTTTAGGTTAGATGGGCTTCAGATTGGTTTCACAGGTCGGCGCAACATCGAGGGCCGAAGGGCCTGTACTGTGCTGTAATGTTCTATATTGTAAGCAGCAGATAGACTTAAGGTGAATGAAGTACATGTAAATCACTGCTTCACATGGAATGCTGCTTGGGGGAATGGAAGTTAAGGGGAGAGCAAGTTTGATTCGGTGTAATTTATAATGTTATATCCATAACAAAGAAGTTCCATGAATTGTGAAATTCTGACATGTTTACTGGTTGTATGAAATGTATTGAGAGGTAGATTTGTCATTGCAAGGAAATGTTCATCCAATAACTATTGAAAATATCCTGGTCTAACCATGGTTAATATAGTGTTTAATACCAATTCTAGCTAATCCAAATATTTGGGTGTGATAATACATTGCTGAAACAGAGGTGCAGGTTTACTCATAAATTGCCACTTTCAGCACTATTTTCAATCTTAAAATGTGTAACATTCAAACAGATAAGTAATCCAACTTATGACCTGTAACATTTATATCTGGGATGAAACGTTCATGATGACCATGTTTGGGTTTCTGCCACTTGGTCCTTTTGCAAGCTGGTGGTGACACTAACAAGTTAAAGCTCTGAGCACTGCACATAACTGACCAGACCATTATAAACTAGCCTCAGTTACATAATGAAGATAATTTCCAGTTGTTGTATTGGACGTCCTTATTTTGTTGTGCTTACTTCCTGAAGTTAGTATCTTTCAGTGGAGCATTAATTCCCCTTAAAGCCAGAATTAGGTACCAAGAAGCACTTTTTGCTGAGAAAGAACAATGCACAGATTGAAATATCATTCTGTACGTGTAGATCAGTGTATTCCTAGCTGAAATAATTAAAAATGGAATAAATTACTAAATATAAAATAAACACTGTAGTTAGGTCCTTTCACTAGAAAACAACAGTAAAATATTGAAATGGTGTTCATTCCTACATGTCTACACATAACGAATAAAATAATTTTTCTTAGAAATTAAATTTAGAGTAAACTCACCTTTGATTACTTATTTAATTAACCAGGTCCTATTTAGAGTCATTAGCTGGTCAGTGCAGGAGAAACTATTTGCACTTTGTGGAACGCAGGACTTCATTCCAAATTTGGAGTGGCAGGCAGCAAAGAAACTTAAGTATTTACTCCAACCACCAAAGCAGCCAATAAAATGTTTCCTGTGTATGGACAGATGGGGCTGGTGATGTTAGCTGGCAGTGACAGGCTTCAAGGTATGTCGTACATAAGTTGATGTCACTACTGCATCCTGTGCACACCCCTGCCCTTGCCCTACTGTTATTTCACATTAATTAGCACTCCTGGCTCCTCATACCAACCCAGGACATGAACAGCAGCTGTCTTTGTTCCTGTTGGGCTGCAGGCTGCCCCTTTAGTTTCTCAATATTCTGGCCTGCTCAAGCCACAGTCATTATAAAAAATTAGTTGCTTCCAAATGACATTGGGTTCCTTCTTTTGCACTTGGAAGTGGCATTTGTACCATTTGTAACTGCAGAGAATCCTGATATCAGATTTTGTTTAGTTATTTAAACTCCTTTGGAGTTTAAGACTAACAGATGAAAGAGGTAAGGAACAGATGTGGAACAGCTGGGACCATTGTGTAGGAGCAAAAGCATGGAGAAAGTTCTTCAGAGCACAAGAAACCTGAAGGAGATGATAAACTGAAACTCAGTGTCAAATACATTATTTCTATTTTATTAGCTTTGTTAAATTTAACAGACTTTATGTGAATCAGCTTTAAACAGGTGAAATGTGTTTTTCTTTTGTAGGCCTATGGTGGTGCATATGATGTGATGAGCTCCAAGCACTTAAGAGGTGATTTGAACTACGCTTGGCCAACAGCAGAAGTTGCAGTTATGGGTGCTAAGGTAGGTGACACCTCTGCATTTCTGATCACACACTTCTGGTAGTATATATGTGCAAGTCCTGGATGTCATATGAGTGGCTGACCTTTCCTTACATTGTTAGTCAGTTCACTAATAATTCAAACAAATCTTTGTTTAGAGATGGGTAGAGGTTAGGTTACAGAGACTACAACTTAGCAGCATGAAATTTAAATTAACTCTTGAAGTTCGGCCAAAATAATAATTAGTGAAATGAACTACCTAATCAGACTAGTATACTTCCTTCACTTACCATCCTTCTGTGGAATATAAATCAGTATTTGGTCAGTTCAAATATAAATTCACATTCCTTCTTCAAAATAATTGAAAATCTGAGGTAGTGCAGAGGCTGTGCAAGTTCTAACTAGTTTGTGGACAGCAATCTAAGGTATATTAGAGAAAGGGAAGATGTAACTCAAGACTTGTCAGTAATGCAGCAAGTATACATAAATTGGAACATGGCTGGTCTCTAGATAACTTTAATATAATTTAAGTTAGGGAAGCTATTTATGTGCAGACCTATTTTGATTTGTACAGTGCCTATGTGACCATATATTCATCAGAGATTAAATGAAAAGAACATACAAGAATAGTGAGTCATACAGATATTTTGTATAGTTAGTTAGTTTACGGAAAACATGAAATTTTCACCAAGAATTGGGAGTTACTGTGTTGCCAGAAGAGTTACCACATCCATGTTGAATCTGCTGACAGTTGAGTGCAGTCTGTATGAAATCCTTTGATCAATAATTTAGTGAGAAAACCAAACAACTCTGGTCGGCATAAGAGACCAATCAAAAAAGTGGATTATGTGTTGTTTACAACTTATTTTGTTCACTGTAAGATTGGTCATGACATCTCTTTACATGATAATGTTAATGTAAACATTGACATTTTTCTTTCAAAGGGTGCTGTGCAGATCATCTTTAAAGGAAAAGGGAATGAAGTTGAGGCAGAAGCAGAATATGTAGAGACATTTGCAAATCCATTCCCAGCAGCTGTGAGAGGCAAGTTCCAGAAGAAGCATGTGTTGTGCATTTTCTAATTTTGTTTCCTTGAGTATTTTAAGTCCTGAGGTATCAATTAAAATCAAGTTCCCCATCTTAATTCAAAACGGGCACTGAGAAGCGTAACAGTCCTATAACACACTGCCCCACGTATTGCAATGTGACAGAGCTGACCACAGGACTGGTTATGTTTTTTCCACTTTCACTAGTGGAGACAGTGCTCTGTTGACAGCAGTCGGGACTTTGACATTCAGTAACGATATGAAGGAAAAACAGTGTGCTAGAAATCCTAAGGAGGTCTGCAAGTATTTTCAGTTGCAAGGTCTCCTATTCAGCTTGAAACATTGTTTCTTTTTCCACAGATGCTTGCCGATAAGCTAGGTATTCACATTCTCTGTGGTGTTGCATTTTTATATTACAAGTAGAAAAATGTTCAATTTTCCTTGGTGCTCAAAGCTTCAATAAGCTTCGAATTGACTGGGAAACAAACTAAAGAAGAAAAAGCTAATTTAAGACAGATTCAATGAGGATGGGAATGTGGGGTCCGGCAGTGCCTTCTTTAAAAACTGTATTAAGAGTAAGCAATACGGTATTCATCGAGCTAGTGCAAAATGAATAATTTCTATATTGCAAAAGTTCATACTTTCTTCCAGACATTGTTTAGTTTTAATATGCATGCAGTATCTAGCACTGGCCAGGTTTCAGTTAATACACCAGGCAGCTGTTTTTAATACTTAAATTAGAGAAATTAGCCAAAAATCTACTTTAAAACTGATCTACTCTGGTTGTTTGTTCTACACAGGTTTTGTTGATGACATAATCGAACCGGCAACCACTCGATTGCGTATTTGTCGAGACTTGGAGATGCTGGCAAATAAGAAACAGACTAACCCTTGGAAAAAGCATGGCAATATTCCCCTGTGAAAAAAAACTTTTAAAGATGGACAGCAGATGAACAGAATGTTACCCCCCCCAAAACCATTGATTCACTGTTAACAAATGATGCTGTCTGAAATCCTTCAATGTTCAGCAAAAAATATGAAAAAGTATTTTAGGAATAAATTTGAAATCACCAACAAAATGCTGGATTGGTGAAGTCTGTTGAGTGGGTTCAGTTAGAATCTTTGATAGCAACAAATTTGTCCAAAGCAGCACACCATAATAACCTGAGAGAACCTTGCAAGCCCATGATATCAACTGTCTAAATCTGCAGTTACTGGGAATTTGTCTTTTCTTCAATAAACCCATTAAACAGTTCAAAAGGGCATTGATCATCGCTTCAAATCATAAGGCATAAGTAATAACATACAATTGAACATGTTTAAAGTTAACCTTGTCAGTACAACAGGAAAATACATTCTTCACTGGGCCAAACAGATTTAGTTCAATATGATACTGCTAAACAAAAATGAAGTATTAAATCAACACAGATAGCGGCCACAACAATTAAATGTGTTCTGGTAAAATTTAATTCTGTTCATCCAATTCTTCTCTAACATCTAATGCTACATTTTCAGGTTTCATTTATATTTTCTATACCAAAGGGTATCTTTCTTTATCTGTGGTAGCATATTAATCCTCCCCCAAGAGATCTGTGGGTTGTGGTTTCAAGGCCCACTTCAAAAACTCGAACACAATCCAGGAAAGTACTGCACTCCCAGGTACTGTACTTGCGTCTCCAGCATCACCTTATTTTTAATTTTTTGTAATTATCTTTCTGCCTCAATTAGTCAGACTATAGGTCATCCCTTCACTTGTTATTCAGCTGTTGGACACTTTACTCACACCGTCTGACACACTTGATCACCTGCAGAGGTCTATTATTCAACCTGTCAACACTCCACTCACACCATTTGTGTGATCGTTTGATTTCTTTCATTATGAAGTCCGTGTCCGTGTCTGTGTGCTGACTTCACTTTACCTGACAAAGGGGCAGTGGTCTGAAGGCTCGTGATTTCAAATAAACCTGTTGGACTATAACCCGATGTTGTGTGACTTTTGACCTGAAATCTCATCCTACTTGCCTTCATTGATGTAAAACAACCCAACACCACTATTCAAAGCAGGGAATTCTCATGATGTCCTTGCTTTTGGCAGACACACAGCATTGCAGGGACTATTGTCCAGAAAACCCATTTCTCACTGGGTCAAAAACTGCCAATTTCCTTTGATCAGAAGGGTCTAGGCCTGAAACGTCAGCCTCTCTGCTCCTATGATGCTGCTTGGCCTGCTGTGTTCATCCAGCCCTGCACTTTGTTGTCTCGGATGCTCCAGCATCTGCAGTTCCTACTATCTCTGATTCAATTTCCTTTGATAATCGTTCTATTCACAATTTTCCAAGATTTTATCTTGTTTATTCTTTCACAGGATGTGGGCATTACTGGCAAAGCTAGCTTTGTCGCTGTCCTCATTTACCCTTAATTTGAGTGGATTATTAGGCCATTTCAGAGGGTGGATATTTTATCCTGAGCAAGACACTTGGGAGACTTGTCATTCAGCTGCCTTTTTTCAACGAAACAGTGTGAGAAGGTGTACAAGTCAGGTACCCAACACTACAGTGGATTTTTAGTCAAATTCTTCTCCTGTAGCAATCAGATTATGAGCATTTTCTTGAGTGGTGTTTATAATTACTTCAGCCCTCTTTTCAGAGTGATCTGTTTCACAGAATGTTTTCATATGTCCCCTTAATTTAATTATCTTATAACACTGTGTTCATGACACAATCTAGGATTAAAGAAATCTAGTAATTTTAATGATGACTGTCAAAAATACTAAGGAAAGGAAATCTGATCCAGTCTGGTTTCTAAGTGCCTCGAGACCCACTATCAATAGCACTACTAAAATGAACCAAATCAGCTGGATCATTCATCAATATTCCGGGTGCCAGATACGACAAATAGATTTGCTGCCTAGTTGTGTTTTTCTCCCCCCACAGGGGAAATAACCAAGTCTGATTACCACCTACTGTTTTCCTTCCACTCGTGAATCCTCATTCCTCTTTGAGACATTCAGTACTTTCTTCCAGGTAGTGTTTAACAATGGCACAGAATGCCCTCGACTGCCCCAAGTGTGATTCAGTACCACCACAACTTGCCATGCTGGCCAGATCCTCTCATCCCAGATGGTGAGAAACAACAAAAGCTCAAATACTACTCAATTTCATTCCCAACATGCCACCTGTTGGACCTACATCTATCCACAATAACATTGAGGGATCACTACAGATTACCTGTGGAGACAGTCTCATCTTCAGAATGACGGCACCCTGCATTGTGTTTTCTAGCAGTGTCACGGTGTGAAATGGCAGAGATTCAGAACAGACCCAGCAACTCAAAATTGGGCATCCATAAGGTGCTGTGGACCGTCAGGGGTAACATGGCCATTTTTAAGATATCCGCCACTCAGTATTAAAGTCTGTGGATAAACGCTGATTCAATGAGCTGCTCCACCTTGGCTTTTGTCAACATCAAAGCCCTGACTTCTAGTGCCTAGAAGAACAAGAGCAGCAGGCATTTGTAACACAATCAATTGCAAGTTTCCCTGAATCTCACACCACAGATTTGGAAATACGTTGCTAATTCATCAACTTGGTCAAAACCCTGACACTTCCTACTGAATAGCACCTGGTATACTGATATCAAATGGACTGCAGTGGCTCACCACCTTCTAAAAAATAATTAGATGTTAAGATTAAATTAGTCTCATCAGTCATGAACACACTTTAAAAAAGGCAAATGCGCCTTTTTTTTAAATCTTTTCTGCAGTTCATTGTTGAAGTGAGAAGAATTCATCAGTAGCAGTATATGTCATTTTATTTTCAAACTTTTTTTCTAATAGACAAATATTAACAGGATAACAAACCTAAATGGCATTAAAAGCTAAGATGAAACTCAAGGTGCTCAGATTCGACAGCCTTCTTGTAAACATGATCATAAATGTGTGCAAGGATGAATGATCAACCAGCTCCTAGGTGCTGCAATATTTGAAGTGTCACAGAAGCACCTCTCAATTATGCAGCTTATTAACAATATAATGTCATCAAATACAAAATATAATTGAGGGTAGAACCACTAATGACTTTGTACCTAGTTGCTATTAGCATACTAAAACTACATTTACTTACATAAAAACAAAGTGCTGGAGAAACTCAGGAAATCTGGTTTCACAGCTTGATTTGAATCCTCAGCGACTCTATTTTGGAACTCCTTTTTACACTGCTTATGTTTCAATCTCTTCCTGCACTGTTGTATGTCAGCTGGATTGGGTCATTTCCAATGGCTGAGCAATTCTAGAGCAGCCCTTGAGTCAGTATGAAGTCATGCCATCCGTCTTCACCCTGCAGCCTGAGTGCTTTCCTTAAAGCACAATCACTAGAACATATTAGCAGAGAGACTGTAAAGTATCTACACCAGAAGAAAAACTTAGGGCGTAAACATTTATATCTAAATCAACTCCAGAAACCTTCAGATCAATTCTTTGTTTTCAATATCCCCATTTGATCATTGTTGCACCTTGCACTAACAAAACTCAACTTTAAAAAAATCCCTTTTCCTACTTAATACTTGTCAAAATCTCTCTCTCAAAACAGTTTGTCTGACTCATTACTGGACTGCACTCATACTTACTGACAGAATTTTCCATTCCATGCCATTTCCCAGTCATTCATGTAGTATTCATGGTTGTGCTTACGTGATGAGTCTGCCCAATTGAACCATTAGTCATATCCAGCAAACTAATTAGGTAATCGAGATAGAAAATGATCATGAAGCAATCACAACTTGTGGATTGGCCACTGCTGTTTTAGTAAAGCTTTATGAAGAAATCTCTAGTCATCCTTTTCAGTGATGTTATTACAAACCCCTGGAGCAGGTGGGATTTGAACCCAGGCCTCCTGGTCCAGAGGTAGGGATATTACCACTGAGCCGCAAGAGCCCTCAGAAAAGCTCTATGACAACAAATTACCCATTTAATTAAAATTAATTGAAAGATTTGAGGTCAGAACAATTTTGTAAGAACTCAGACATCCCAAATTATTTGACGGTATAAATCTTCCCATACTTAGGATTATTCAACACATTTCCAATAGCAGAATCCAATAATGGACACAATGCTGCAACTTTTGAAAGGCTGGGTATAGTTAGTACCTTGCTCATTGAACCTATAAGGTCACCATACTCCCAGTGGACCGTAGGGCTGTTTCTCATGAGAGAGAGATGACCGGTGGTAACCTGAGTGTCGCTATGTCTGAGATGAGAAATTGAGAAACAGGGTTCTTCATGGTAATCTCAGCTGGTGTGGGGAATTGAATCCATGCTGTTGGCAATACTCTGCATCACAAACCAGTCATCCAGCCAACTGAACTAACTGACCTATACTGGAAGCTACATATATTATGATACAGGGCTCTTCTTTACAGGCATAAAGAACATATGCACACTATATCTGTTCCAACTCAGCAGGAGGTGACAGCCATTTGTTCATTTCTCAGGGCAATGCCCTGGCTAATCAGTGTCAACCTGCCTGGTTTAAAATTCACATATTTTCTAGTCAACCTGTTGAGATGTTACTGAACATCTGTGGAGGAGATGAGACCTTTACTTGGGTGTCCTGGCTCATAGATAGGGACACTACCACTGCACCACAAAACACCACCTGGTTTAAAATTTAAACAAAACCTACCAGTTATCTGCCAATCATCAACTCTCCATGAAAATGCCATTACAATCAATCCACTTTGCTAAACAATCAGTACTTTAGACTTTTTCCAAAAATAGTTAAGTCTATAGTACCAAGTGACCTCTTGTGCATCCATCCACTAAAACTCAGGCCTCATTAAATCTTGCTAGCCACTAGCCCCATGATAATCATAGGCCTCTTGAACTCTAATTGGATTATTAGCATATGAGCTGTTCATACTAAATCCTGCATAGGTTATACCCATTTCCAAAGTACTTTTATTTTAAAGAAACCAAAGGTCACCTTATTAACATCACTGCCTATTGTCTCCTTATTCATTAACATGCCAGTCATTTTATAAAATTGTCCCTTTTATAACAGGTTGTCCTTAGTTTAGCAATTCCGTGGATCACGATGAGGTGGCACCACTGGACAATTGATGTGTCTGCTTACACTATGTAGTATTGTAGTTACAACTCTGAATGGGTAGATTAGAAAATATCGAGACTATATACTGCCACCTCTTACAGATCAACTACCCTTCCAAATGATAACTCTAAGAATTCTAGAATATCAATCAATACTCTTCAGTTACAAAAACCATGTCTGAATTAATTAAACTGTTGATACTCAAAAACACAAACCTTGATATAACAATACAAACTAATACAAAAAACCGTTTCAAACTTTAAATTATAAAACAATCATTTTAAAACGTGTGACAACTTCAAAAGCATTTTAACATTGGTCAGCCTAAGTTTATATTAGATTGAACCATTATACAGCAATAAAACCATAATCCTTGCCCTAACCTAGTCATAATGTTTCTTGCTAGCAAATGCTATTCAATAACTAATCACAGTTAAACATTATTAAGTATGTGGGGAAGTCAAAGTTAATTATTGTAAAATAACTGAATTAATTCTACAGCATACCTTTTGCCAAGCTTTGTAGAATAGCCACAACACTTAACAATCATCTAGGAATGACTGATCCAGAAAAGCAAAGCAAACTCAAATTCACCTCACTAATGCCTAATCAATACATTCTCATTCTTATTCAAAGCAAGGGAAGTTTTCATTATCGATGTTATCAAGTGGCACTTAACAAATGCTTACTGAAACATAGTCTTGGCTCTGTCTACAAATATTCTGTTTCAGAACTCATTACAACCTTGATCCAAATATGGACAAAGGAATCAAATTCCAGAGACATGGTGAGAGACTCCGCTTGAGATCAAAACAGCATTTAAGTGTAGCATTCAAGGTGCCCCAGCAAAATAGAGAAAATATCTGATTGGAGTCAACACCAACAGAAGGAAGATTGCTGTAGTTGTTGGAGGCCAATCACTTCAGCTGTCAGAAATCATTGCAGGTGTTCAAATTAGTGTCTTATGTACAGGTGAGAGTTTGAGCAGTAGTGAGACAGAACCACAGACAGTGTGGTTCAGTGGAGTGTTGTTAGGTTGAAATAGAGCTTCTTGGTGGCAGGTGGATGTGGTCAGAAATTCAGCATCAACAGTGGCACCAAGGTTCTGAGTTATATGTTCAGCTACAGACAGTTGCCAGGGTGAGGGATGGAGTAAATTGATTGCAAACAGTTTGTGATTAAACAACAGCTTTGTACTTCTCAAGATTCTTAGTTGGGAGTAAATTGTTGCTTATCCAGCACTGGATGTCAAAATAGCGTGACAAAGACAGTACTAAGGATCAACAAAAGTGAGAGGTCAAGCTGAGTGTTGTCAATGTAAATGCGGAAGCTAGCGCCATAAGAATGAAGTTGCTGAAAGCAAGTAGTTGAAAAAACAAGAGAGGTACAAGCATAGTTTCTTGGGGGCTCCTGAGGAAGTGATGTAGGACTGGGAACAGAAGCCATATGTAATCATAGATTTACTTGTCCTCCTTATATTTTATGCAATTAAAGCTACATTAAAAACGGAAGCTGAATTGACAACGCTTATTCCACAACAGTTGTGCTAAAATTCTGACATTTTTTCTGAAAAAATTGGATATTCTGGCTGAACAACTCTCTCCAATCCACCATTATAAAAATGCATGATCTACTTATATTATACACTGGGGTTCAAAATGAAGGAGGAAATCATCAGCTGGTAGACAGAAATTAATTGATATTAAAAAAAAATCAGTTGTAAATAACATCCTCTGCAACCAATTATTTTCAAACAGTTTATTAAAGGAAAGGTGAAGCATCAGCTTTAAAATGTACAAAAAGAAATTTTATACTGAAAATGTACAATTTACAGTATTACTAGTAAAACCAATCAAGGTAACACTCAAAATATAAAACTTATTAACTTCAAACTCAATTTCAAGCCCAGCGTGGAGGTATCCAGACATGAAACCATCGTTTCACATTCTGCTACAATACTGCCGAAGAATTCAGATTTATATAGTTGACTGCACAGCTTAAGTTGATGCAGAGATGATTCTAACCATGCAGTACCTATCATCGCGCCACTCAATCCACAGAACTATTTCAGATCATTGACAATTCAGCCTGAAAACTGTACAAAACTAACCAATATCGCATATTTTCACAACTGCTTAATAGCAATACCAAAAAGTCAATACCTTTAAAATCAGCTTTTCTGTTCATCTAAGTTAGTATTGTAGATTAGTAAATGACTCGTATGACCTTATAATTTAAAATCTAGTCATAACTACTTTCAAAATGTGAGAAAAAGTTAAAATTTATAATGTATTATTCTTTCATTTTTATGACACTAGCTTTCAAATATTTTCTGCAAACAATTTCATGTTTTGATTAGCTTTTGTGAAATTTCAGGTGTCAAATTGTCAATTTCTATATTGGAAACTGTCTATGAACAGCTAAATTAAGATGTTAAAATGTTAGTTTACAAAATTAATTTGTTTCTGACATTACCTTAAAAATATGATCAGGTGGAAAATGGCATTAAAATTAATGAACAATTCAATACTGCAGGTAACTAATCAGAAGCAAGACAGATGGAACACACATTCTAGCACATTGGGCTAATCCTCCATTTACTCAATTATTGAACTCTGTTTTGTATAAAATTAACATTATCTGTAAAAGTACATTTAGACAATTGAGAAAGTCAAAAGTGGGCATTTCTTAATACGGTATAGAGTAGATCTGGAATCGAGGGCAACAGTGCACCAAAATTTATCAATGAGATGTGCTCTTGACCTAATTTTTACACTTTTGGGAGTGTACAGCATTGATTTATACAACCTGGTTTTAGAAAATGTACTGTATTGTGAAGTGTCATCAAATAACAAACATCTCTCAAACAACTGAATTTTAGGAAGCTACACCTGCTTCTAAATTTTACCTGTTGGATTCTGAGCATTAAAACTAAAAGCAAAATGCACCGGCCTAATGATGATAAAAGTGTACATCTCAACTCTGCTGAAGTCAAACTTAAAGCAGGTAATGAGTAGTCTTCACAGTAAATAAGGCAGCTTTTGTTATGAAAGGAAGTAGCTTGCTGTAGATGTATGTATAAGACCTTAGTAATAAAAAGAAAAGAAATCTCTAGATTACGGTTACCTGTGATTTGCAGAAGCAATATTTCACATTTCTAAAAAGCCCCCACAGAATCTATTACCCATTTATACAATAACTGCATAAGTTTTTGCAATTAATTTCCAGTTACCCACCCCACCCCTCAATAAAATAAATGCGTACCACAAAGAAACCAAACTCCAGTGTGAGAAAATTGCTTTGCTCCTAATCTAGTTTTTCAGCATTGCTGCCTTCTGAAAAATTTCTAAGCTCGAATTAAAAAACATAACATAAACTGCTGATCTCAAAAATTCTTTATATTAAACTGTACAGCAGAAAAAAATTACAAAAACTCAAGGAACTCATTTGTACTTTTGGTGTCATCTGCTGTATGTGCCACCCTATCTTTTTAAATATGCCTTCATGATTTTAATACAATTTACTCTTGGTTGATATATATATTTTTTTAAAAAATCCTACTGTGGCACTCCTCAGCAGTGCTACAGTCCATGTGTCAGGTCAATTTTGGGGGTAGGGGGTAATTCTTCCCAGGAAGATGCCACGTTTTTCGGTCCATAAGAAAATCTGTCTCAGTAACAGACCATTTTAGTGCTTCCTCCTTCAGGCTTCCCCATTTATCATAATCAAATCTTCATCAAGTTTATCCTTTGATAAAAAATAAATCAGATCTTGAGTATGTAAAATTTAGTTTAAAAGTTGCTGTCACAGTATTTAGATCTTGGATTCTCTTTAGATGATGGAGTTCTTAAAAATATAAAACTTCCAGCAGTCTCAGAACATAGGCATCCCAAAGCCCTGTAGAAAAATAAAAATAAAACAAAAAATCCATCTTCAGATTTGTGAGAAGAAATAAATCTATGCAACATGGAACATTTTCAAATATATCAATTCAAAACATTTTCTGTAATAATTCATGTACAAACATGTGGTAGTACAAAAGCTGAATTTACAAGTGCAGACATAAATTTACAAAATTTAGTACAGAATGGATGATAATCATTCTAAGCAGAATAACCAATTGTACCTCTAATTCTGGTTAGTTAGTGTTAATCTTGAGGATATCAACTAAACAGGTTAGAATTTTACCTTTGATACACTATAATTGCTCGACACTTAAAAATCTTCACTGCGTGAAACAGAACAGTACATCACTATATTTAAGGTTTATATATAAAGAAGTTCTACAAGTTGAAAAAGTATATTTAAGAGTACACTGAAGATTTTTATAGAATAGACTATTAGAGAAATCAAGAAAGATGGTGAAATTTTGAAATTTCTACTTACACAGCGAACACAAAATAATTAGTAATGATTCACATCACTGGAACCAAGATCAACTTATAGCAGAGATAACAGGGAAGAATTATGATTTAAGTCATACGTAAATACAGTATACAAAACAATGATTTCAAGATGCTTGGATTTGGAAAGGTGAAATTAGGGCAGTTCCCACCTTAGGGAAGAGCCAAAAAGCCTAAATTCACATAACCAATGTTCCTTAGGAGTTTTTGTATGATATACACTTAAATAGTATACAGTATCAGTCAATAAAACAGTTCAATCAGACTCATTAATACATTAACATTGCAGCAGGAAATGTTAAAAGAAAATAATTAGACAACTGCTGTAAATATTTAACCCTCTGAAGATGGCAATTATATTTGACCACTAATTTTGGAAGAAACAAAACTTTTTGGTTTAGTTTTAAACTCGAGTAAATAAACACACCCCGAGAAATTTAACTCTTCCAATTATATATTCAGGCCTTTTGCGGCTACTTATAAATATTTTGACAGCTACAAGGGAGTACTCAAAAACTTAATTTATCTTGATTATTAGAGGATGCATCATAGACCAAAGTACTCCTTGATACACACCGAATCATCTTCCATTATGGCAGTAGAGTCGAAGAAATCTGGTCTGAGCTCAGCCCGTTCACGTCTGTTTCGTGATGGAGGCTGTAAAAACAGTTCACATAATTATAAATCATGGTTCAAACACTACTCTCAAAAATCTGAGTACAGACAACAAGCCACTTTCAAATTAGGAATATGATCACAAGTAGAGGCAAATCATTTCAGTTGTAACACACACACTGAGCATGTTTATGAAATGTACAGTAAGTCTGTGCTTAATGGCAAATTGCTTAATGTTTTATTTAACACTGCTGATAATAAAGTCAGTATAATTGTTTAATGTGCTAAATTTCACTTTAATGTTGCGTGCCAGACTTCGTGTTCTGAGACCTGTCTACTCACGTGATCTTCCCTGGTACTTCCGCTTTTGCCCTGGGTATCCCTACCTACCATCTACCCATCAGCAATAACTCTCTCAACCTTGTTTCCTGTCATGTCCTTGGCTTGACCTCCTGTCCTCTTGACCTCACCTCTCCTCTGGGCCCCGTTTCCTCGGACAGCCTCTCTCCCAAGCCTTGCCTCCTGCTCTCTAACTTAGGTAGCCGGGTTATTTACCTGGCTTCTGGTTTCGTATGTTCCTGAACTCAAGTTTTGGTCTCCATCTAGTGGCATGCATTTGTCAATACAGGGTCTCTAGGTAATAGCAGCATTTATTAACATCTGCCACTAGATGGAGCCTGGTCAAGCTAAAAGTACTGCACAGTGAACATTGTTGTAAAATTGTATATTGTGTTGTATTTCTTTTAATGTACTCTTTTAGTTTGCAAGTTATTTCAACTAGGACTAAATGGTACTGCACATATTGTGTATAGTATTTCAATTTGTACCTCTATTTTCTCAGGCGATAAATGTCCCGAGAAACCTAACTGTGCATTTAGTGTTGATTTCCATGGGAAGCCTCAATTCAGTCATTTCAGTCAAAAGTCCAGACAGTCAGGAATGCAACCACGACTTTATGTGAGGACTCACTAAAATGGGAGATTATTAATTTGAGGTTTACAGGCATTTATTATAAATTCAGGACAATTAACAAATGGTCTGATTTTCAGCAAAATTTGGTTTACTATATCCTATAAATCAGAATATGAAATTGACATTCCGCTCTCAGTAGAGGATTCACCAGTTTTGTTATTTTGTTGAGCAACAAATTTACTAGTTTGATAAGTTCATTCATGCAAAAAGAAAGCAATAAAAACAGTCAGGGATGATAGTTGATCAGTTTAACCCACTTAGCTCTTTTGTCCAATTGTGATTGAGCTTGATGCATTAAAATTGTGTAAAATTTAGATAATTTCCAAGATTCAAGCCTCATTTAGAATTATGCTTTGTCCGCTTTGTAACTACTATTAAGTAAGGTTTGGATGTTTTATCACCTCCAAGAATAGTGAGCATATTAATGCATAATCCCACCGTACAATGAAATAGGTTTGAAATCACTCTCAGCACCACAGTGAATTTCAAATTATATTTTCCTGGTTACCAATGCATTTCAGTGGACTCACCGTGATACTGTATCACTGCCATTATATGAATTTTATATTATAAATATAAATCTCTCGAAGTTTCTAATTCAAATGGATCTTCAAGCAGAAAAATTAAGATATGTAGTCACTTTTAAAACACAATCAATTAGCATTTTCAATTTGATGGAAGAATGTAGATAATTAACTGCTATATTCATAAGTAATCAAAGGAACATGCTGTGTAAATTAAAAGAATAGCCACAAACAAATCAAAATACTAATTCTGTACTTTCAGAGCTCTTCGTGTTAAAAGCAAACTACAAACCACTTCTCAAAGTGACTTACGGCTTGCTTTGTCTCAAAATCTCCAAATGGATTATTCCAAATATGGTATTGCCCAATATTAAATGCACACTTATTTTTAAACATACAAATGACCACCCACCAGATCAATAACCATAGTGTCTTCAAATTCTTCATTCATATCCTCCAATTGACCCCTTGATGACATCATTACATCTTCAAAAATTGGTTCAGCATCATCCTCCATTAAACTGTGACTGCGGCTGTAGAGACAGGGAAAGATTAAATATTAAATTAAAAAGCTAGAAGAGCAGTTATATCCAATCGTTTCCTTCTGGTCTCAATGGAAGTAGCATTATGATTTTTCAATAAAATGATTACATTCAGCAAACTCCTAAATCTGGTGTCACCCTAGTGCCCCCATCTATGAACGGACCTGATGCACACAATTGTTAGCTGTACAACTGATTTCAAATGGATCTGTAAAAGACTGCAGTAGGGGGTAATTAATCATCATTCCTTGCACTTATCTAACAAATTCCCTAAACTAATATGCAGCCTCTGGTCCTGAACCCTTATGACTTCTTGTGGTACAGTCTTTATCACAATATTCCTTTCAATTTACAAATGAAATCCTAACAATACTGTCCCAAACACCTTCAAGCTGCAACTTAACCATTTTACTTCGAACTAGAATTTAATTAAAAATAATCTCAATACTTTAAATATTAAAAATCATTAGCAGAACTGCCAGATATGACCACAACTAACTAACCTTGGCACTGTGACATCTTTCATATCTTCCCAAGTACCTCAACACGGCAACTATGGTTTCTTAATAAACAGTCTATGAACTTACACTGATTGCCTTACACCGCCTCTTGCTTTCATGTAGTTCATGGCCACTCTGTCTTTTCGGTGTGCCTCTTCAAGCTTGTGTTGACCCAACCAAGGCATTTGCATTTGAGGGCTAAACAGAAAAGTGTCTTACTTTAAAAAATGAACTAATTGTGAACTATATCTACAAATTTCAATACAGAAAGAAAATATTTTAAATTGCTAAAAGCATAAGTTTGTTTGTAAGCGTTGCACTTTCCCCTTTAGTGGTCCACAGTGCTCAAGAATTATCAGTTTTGATCATAGGTAAAGCTCACTCACTTCTGTACATAATCAGATTCGGAGCCCCGTTCAGATTCCTGATCTTCCATGTTGTGTTCTGCCGGTTGTCGAGGATTTTCCCGCATGACTGTTGAAGTCAACTGTGGAGGATGCAAGACTCCTGGAGTTTGAACAGTGTCATTCCTGTTCATCCACGAATTATCAACACTCTCCTCTACAAAACCAAACCAAAGAAAATGCTGTCATGAAGAAATAACACGATGGTTGCTCCTATATACGTTTTTGAATGGTTGAATTCTGAATTAACACTTTGGAGGCTAACCTGGAGGGGAAGTTCAACACGCTACCATGCAAACAAATTTTGTCTGGAATCACTGAGGTGCTTTCAATGAAGTGCAACATTTCTAAAGTGATCATTGTGAAGAAAAACTACTAAAGATGTTGTATGAAGTTTGCTTTGTTAGTTTTCACCTCCTGAGGCTGATGTAGAGTTCCACAGGAGCCCTCTAATAAGCTACACCAATGCCCACTCTAATAATGAGCTGATAGCCTATTAATAGACATTCCAACTGTGGCGAACGAGGTCAGGAGAACAGAGGACAATGGTGGGGGTATCAGTTGCATGTGATTATGCCTTGGGCTTAAAATACAAAGTTTATAAATATAGGACTTGGGACTGTTTAATATAAAATTGAGTGACAAAAGAAGCCATGTTGCCTGCTCAGAATCCTCTTTAACAACAAATCCGGGTGGCTTGGTTGCTGTGGGGATGGAGGGGCTAATTTTGATTTACTGGGAAAAGGCATAAGATGTTCACATCTGTCAACTATGATTAGAACAACTGTGCTGACTGTGGAAAGATTTTATCTCCAAGTCTCACAGGGAGGCTGTAAGAATGCCAGGCTTTATAAATATTCATACCTTAAACTGTCTATTTAATTCCGAACTATTGGGGCTGAAAGAAGATTATATTATTTAGCACTTCTACCGCCCTGCAAGGCAGAGACGGTGACAGACAGAGACGTCCAGTTTCTATAGTTTACCATGCAGAATATGGATGGAATTTTATACTCAGATTAAAGAAAGTGAAACAAGGCTGGAAGATTCACCTAGCTTTGGCCGGAAGGAGGAACCTCCAGGATATTCCACACTGTGACAGTTAGTTCAGGAATTACTAACTACCCAGCTGGAAAAGGGAAAGGAAACAATCCACTACAAGCCGAGAATATTTTGGACTGGTTTTTAAGAGAATGAAATGTCAACTTAATGGATAGAGTAAATTATAACCTTGGAGTGGATTTTCAATTGTTTTATAAGTTAAGTGAGAAGTCTTTTCTGTAATTTGAAACACATGCTTCTTACTAAAACAGTGTTCAGTCAATTATAAATAAAGACAAAGTGCTAGAAATATACCACAACTCTGGCAGCATCTGCACAGAGAAAAACTGTGTTAAAATTTCAAGTTAAACATGACTTATTCAGAACACAGACTCAAAATGTTAATCTGTTCTCTCTTCGTAAATGCTTCCAGATCTGCTGAATGTTCCAGCATTTTCTGTTCTTTTAAAAATGTTGCACCATTATTTATTGATTAACTACTATTTGTACTTGCCGTTTTTCACCCGTTTTCTTTTTCATGTTGTTACATTCCCTTTAGTACTGCACAAGTTAACTTTCACAATGCTTTTATACACCTCTATATTAAGCACTTTCTCAAAACCTGTATTAGGCAGCATCCATTTGGTCTCTTTTGTCAATGTGTTGCATGTCGTATTAAATCTGTTTGACATCACTCATTTCAGCAATTTATATATCATAGTGTCAAAATACTGCTTTAAGTAATTTTTAAGAACAGAAATGATTCATAATCATGTAGCACAATAAGTTCAGTGCAAGTCCAAAAACATGTCAAAACTGGAAAATCTGTTTAAAAATGTACAGAAACAGTAGTGTTTAATATTTTATAAAACGTTCATTGTTTGATAGCCCTAATAAGAGTATCGGGGTTGGGTGTAATAACAAATTACAAAAGCACTGTGACAGAGAGACAAGCAGTGTTATGAAACTGCTTTCTTAGCTATATAGAAATTAGAATATGAAAGTTAATTTTCTCAATAACTGAAATAAGGATGCATGCTAAATAGTTCTGTTACTTGCCTTCCGTCCTCCTTTTGTTTAGTGATGGGCGACCTTTTTTACTACGTATTGAGGAAGCTTTACTACTGCTGCCTCCACTAATCACCGACATCCTATCGTCCTCCCCACCAGTAAGCAATGAGTTGCGATAGGAGATCAGGGGCAGCCAGATATCCTCTCTTCGTTCCATCATCTGTTCAGACATGAATTTCTCCAGGTACGCATGGCTAAAGAAAACACAGTAATGTAATATCTAACAACTCAATTAAATAAGGATAAAATATGTTATTTTTTAACAGTATTACACAAATACAGAGAAGCAAATTGAGAATATGTTTCTTTTCAGTTTGATTTTAATGCAGACCCTGGTCTACTCCACCAGACAATCTCTAGACACTTCGATCCCTACAGAGATTCTGGATTATTCATTAGCCTGCTTGTCAACCATTCCTTCCATCTGCTCAGGTCATTCCCTGCTCTAATTTTAATACTGCTGTTATATAAATTCTATAAACAGCTGAGAATATATAGTTCCCTGTATAGTTTACAGGAATAAAAGTAATAATTTTACTTGAAGTAATGAATTTGTGGTATCTTAGTTTCTCAAACATGTTATTCTTAAAAACACAATTAAAAAACAGAAACTAGGAGTAAATGCAAGTTTTTTATTATACTAGTTTAGAAATGAATTTCTCAATATTTTACTTACACAGTTTTTTTGTCCTGTCGCAGAAGTTTAGAAGAAAATTCACCAAGAATCTCAAGGAAGGCAAGATTTGGTGGAGGATACTCTGGTCCATTTGGGTTAGGATATTTAAAGGCAAATTCTATGCCATCCCTAAAGTAATAAGCAAAAAATTAGAAATACTGTATAGAGCCTGATTTTAAAGCAATTAGGTCTCATAATTCAAGCAAATAACCTATGGATGATAAATTGTTCAAAGACTGCTTGCCACCTAACGCCCATAATTTTAGGGAGAAAGTATTTTTTAAAAATTACACCCTAAACAATAAAATTATTAAGAGGAGGAAGAACAGAGTTTCAGGAGCACAGATAGACAAATCTTTAAGTCAAGTGACATTTATAGGAGAAGCAGTTGATTTTTATTTATTCATTCATTGGACAAGGGCATTGCTGACCAGGCAGCATTCATTGCCCATCGGGCAGTTCAGAGTCAACCACATTGCTGTGGGTCTGCAGTTATATGTAGGCCAGACCGGGTAAGGATGGCAGTTTCCTTCCCTAAAGGACATCAGTGAACCAGATGGGTTTTTCTGACAATCGACAATGGATTTATGGTCATCATTAGATTCTTAATTCCAGATATTTTTAAAATTGAATTCAAATTTCATTTGAATTCCGCCATGGCGGGATTTGAACCTGGGTCCCCAGAACATTATCTGGGTCTCTGCATTAACAGAGTTTAAAAGGAAATTAAATTGAATTTACAAAACACTTACGTCATGTTTGTGTTGCATGCATCCCAATATGGGAAAGATGTAACATGAACAGGGGAGGATCACCAAAATTAAACTCAGAATAAGGAGTTATGTTATGAAGGAAAATTCAAAAACACAGAATTCATGGGGAACTGAATGAAGACGTTCAGAATTATGAAAGATTCTAAGATTATATTAGTGAAAGAGTGCTTTAATCAGTTGGTACATCAGAATGGAGAGGTGTAAATTTTAGATTATCACAGCTAACACTAAATCGGCTATAATTAGCATAAGAAATGTCACAACCTGACGGTGCTTTTGTGAAGTATAACTTTACTGTTGTAGTACTTGTAATTTTGTGCTGGTACTCACTTGTGTAAGGTAGCAACAGCTTCTCTCGTCTTGATCTGATCCAGACCAAAGGTGAGGGCAAACCGACGAGCAAGTTCTTTAATACCACTGACATGGGCTGATGACCTGTCAAGATTTGGACCTTGCTCCTGGATGAGCTCATTGAAGAGCTAAAGTAAAAAATACTGAAAGTCAGTATTTCACCTAACTCAAATTTGCTCAGAAATAATTTGCTGCTGATGAGCATTATAAATGTCTTACCTGTTGTAAACTTAGAATAAGTGTCTTGGCACATTGAATTTTGTCAATTTGCCTCGTTTTACTTAACGTCTCCTTTATGATGTCTCCATAGTCATTGTAATACTGTTTTTAAAAGTACACAAACATGACACGATACCTTATTGGAAACTATCTATTTATTATTTTTCTTTAAGATATTTATAATTTTCAAGATGTCAATAAATCTAGAACACTTTTCAACAGCAGAATGTAGACTAATATTGCATTACTTAATGGAGCAGTCTGTTAATTCAACATGCTATGTATTAATTGGCATTAAAAAACTTCAATGGCTTTCTAAAGTTTATCTGGTAAAGGTATAGCCAATGAATTACTAAGCCATATGGATTAAGCATTCAAGTTTTATTTTCAGTTTGTGCTGAGTTAATTGATCTCAAGCAGTGTGGCAAGTGGCCTCAGTTTTCCTGAATTACTAAGGAAATACTTGGGATTTAAGTACATAAATTCTTTCAAGTGACTTCAGCTGGAATGTGCACACAGGCAATGAGGGATTAGGCAAGGATCAGGAATGGCTTTGTAATTACAGTCGTGGGGTATATTCATTGTCTGGGCATATACAGGAAAATGGTGCTTGGATAAAGCATTTAGAGATACTGTTGGCTCGGAACATTAACCAAGCAGAAACGACTGTCAAGAAAGTAAAAGGGTAATAAAGGATGAATATTCCCCATAAGTCCACATTAAGTGAAGCTAAAAAGAAAATTACCAGCAAGCTTTATTGATTTGATCTACAAGGTACTTTTAATTCTGCTTTATAAGAGTAATTTTCTCTTCTCTAAAATTACCTTCATATAGTGCTTGAAAATGTCAGCAGCAGCATTCATATCCACAACATCATAAATTATAAGCTTGCAAAAACCTGCCAAGAGGTTTCTTCTTTTATGGAGGGCTTCAATCTTGTTGGCTTCATCCTCTTCATCTCCTTCTGCACAGGAAAAAGAAATGCAAGATTACAATTTATTTGGTAAAAATGGCAATTTCATTCTTGGTAGAGAGAAGAAACCAGTTATTACAATTACACCCTTGTGTCTTGTTCTCAATCTAAAACTTAAAACACACATCGAATTTTGTCTACTGTGCTCCTGATGCAGATTACTTTCAAGTCCTATGTTATGTGGTCTGAACAGATCAATGCTGATACTCAAAAATAAAAATTGATATCATAAATAACATTATAACCCAGATACTGTCAGGTCGAGTATCTTAAATTATGATAAAGATGGATAAACCCTGAATATCACCAAGAAACCAAATAAACTTAACTTTAATTAAATACAGAAATTTACTTTCATGTGGACAGTCTTACCCATGCTTTGGTTCTCCTCATCTTGATCAATAAATACATGATCCATTACAAAGCTGAGCAACTCTGACTGTAGTCCAGTATCTGGGCTGTAAACAATCGGCTTGAGCCCATCCCTGCCACCAGTTGTCAACTGATGACTGAATATCATTAGCAGATCACAAAGCAACATGAATGCCTATAATGTGACAAAATAAATCTTTATTAAAATATAGCATTTTTATAGTTCCAGTTGAAATGACAGTTTGGAATCAATGTTTTAGCTTGATTCAATAATCTCAAAAAATAACTTATTTCTGTTGAAAATAATTTTGCTGAAGTATAAACTTAGACAAAGATCTTCCAAACATTTTCAAAGTACTTACTTGCTGTTATGGAACTTTGACATAAATAGACTTTAGTGGGCCAAGGAATAGCAGATGGAGTTAATGCAGAAAAATGTGAAATGTTGCATGTTGGTAATACAAACAAGAGCAGGACTTACACCGTCAATGGTAGGGTCCTAATGAGTGTTGTTGAACAGAGAGTCATAGAGGTGCAGGTACATAGTTCCTTGAAAGAGGGGCCACAGGTAGACAGGATGGTGAAGGTGGTGTTTGGCATGCATGCCTTCCATTGGTCACAGTGCTGAGTGCAGGAGTTGGGACGTCATATTAAAACTGTACAAGACATTGGTATGGCCACATTTGGCGTACTGAGTACAATTCTGGTCACTCTGCGTTAGGAAGGATGTTACTGAATTGGAAATGATGCAAAAAAATTTACAAGGATTTTGCCAAGATTGGAAGGTTTGAGTTGTAAAAGAGGCTGGAACTTTTTCCCCCAGAGCGTAGGAGGCTGCAGGGTGACCCTACAGAGGTTTATAAAATCACGAGGTGCAGAGAAAAGGTGAATAACCGAGGTCCATTCTCCAGGCAGCGGTGTCCAAAACTAGAGAGCATAAGTTTAAGGTGAGAGGAGAAATATTTAAAAGGGACCCGAGTGTCAACTTTTTCCACATAGAAAGTGGTGCATATATGGAATGAACTGCCTCAGGAAGTCGTAGAGGTGGGTACAATTACAACATTTACAAGACATTTGGACAGGTACATGGATAGGAAAGGTTTAGAGAGATATGGGCCAAATGCAGGCAAATGGCACCAGTTCAGTTTAGGAAATCTGGCTGGCATGGATGAGTCGGGCCAAAGTACCTGTTTCCGTGCTGTTTGATTCTATGACTCTAAATAATACTTGAATTACACTAAATTAACCAAATGCACCACTTGAATTACTTGTGAAAAAAATCTTACTTTATGATGGAAATAGGTACCTGCTCTTTGACAGAAGGGTTGACATTTGTCAAACAGTGCTGACAGACAATACAAAATGCTTTCAATGTTTTTCTCAATCCCAGTTGTTCATCCTGAAAGAAATTTTTTTTTTTTAAGACAGTTACATTTAACACCTATCCAAGTCTACAGATACTCAATTGAGCAAAGCACAAAGTTCAATGCTGTGTTCAAATGTTCAAAAATGACTATTTTTTTCCATTTTTCTAGGTGTACTACATTAAAATTGCATATTTCATAGGGCTAATAAGTATCTACCAATACAAAAGCAGTTCCAAATTTTTCCCCAGTTTCTATTGTTAGAACCCTCAGATATGAGAAAGGCTTGGTACAATATGCCTAACCACAGACAGTATTCGTAGGGTTCAGCTGAGTACATCCCAGAACATACTCCTATTAGCTGTTGCTCATTCTGCTCCTCTAGCATATTTGATTTTAAATCTCATGTTTACACTTTTGTCTGTCTGGTTAATTCAACTCAAACAGCCATGAAACAGGAAATAAGATCTACTATTCAAACAACCATAGTGGTGGAAAGAGTTGTGTACATTTATTATTGTGTACTTGGGATTGGCACACTCTGTATTTCCAGTGTTGATATATTTAAATGGAATACCTTTCAAACAGCTTCACACCTGGTTCCAACGACTGACCTAAACTTGAAAATAGTCAAGTAAAAAGAAATACTGAAGAAAAAAATTATGAAGCGGCAATGGAAAGAGGGATTACAGCTCTGGAATGGCAGGGCACTTGTAATTGACAAGTTTAGCAGTACGGTGATTCAGGTATACCACCAAGCACTGTAGACTAAAACAATTAGACTCCAGCGAAATAGGATCTGAGCTTTCCATTCCATTTAAGAGCAGAAGTCAATGAAAAAAACAACTTTGACTGATGCATTCTTTCCCAGCACCAAACACTATGGGTTTCCCTACCTATATTCAAGCTATCCGTCTTCAAGCATTCAGAACATAAACCCTCAATCACTTGACTGATATATCTTGACTTTCATCATCTAGCTTTTTATTGTGTTCAACTATTTTGGTGTGCTGCATTTATAAGCCCTATCTCAAGAATGATTTCTGAAAAAAAATCCCGAATCCTTTTGATGTTCTCTTATGGGTAAATCTCAATACAGAGGACTAATGACCAGTCAACCCCTAAAAATAAAGTAACATAAATTTCAAACTATCACATGTCACTTCTAACATCACTTCTCTCCAACATGCCTTGAGCACGATTAAAGTGACATTTTAAGAAGTTACCTGATTAAGACCCTGTGTAAGTGCAGCCACCACTGTAAATGAGGAAATTGTCCCTTTAGTAGAGTGATGCCAATATCTAGTGCATAAGACTTACAAACTAGACTTTTTTTTAAATGGCAGGACAGATTTACTTCTGTATAGACCACGAATAATAAATTATTAAATGGAGGAGTTAGTTTATAATTTAAAAGTATTGAAAGAAAAATAAAGAATGTAAATTATTTTCCAATAAACTAGAACAGGCAAACTAGTGCAGCCAAAAGTAAACAACTACTTCCAACAGGTACTTCCAATCTGACCAGAAACACCATGGATCTAAAAATCAATTTAGAATCTTAGACGTGCTTTCATAATTTTCAGCATAACTGGAAATGACACCCCAAAACAGACTGCTACAGTTTTAAGAATGTATTCACAGAACAACATTTCAATTAAAGCTATAACTTATTCCCAATTTGATTTAATTGAAAAATTATGGTACCTTTTTTCTGGCACAATTCCAATTCTTCCACATTTGTAAAAAGTCTTTTTTTAACAATAGCATTACTATTGCTGACTTTACAACCGTTCCTCACCTTAGTTGGAGAACCTTCTGCTATCTTGACAAGTTGCCACAGAATGGAATAGTGACAACACTGGAGTGCCTGGACCACTATCTAGACCAGTAAAATAAACATTACATAACTATTACACTTGAGACAAATGGACAGGCAGCAAAGTGTCCAAACCTTTAAGAATTTTCCCATTGGCAAATAGAATGAAAAATTATATGCAACTTTATTTTTATATACAAAGTCTATATTAACCGAACTCAAGATCTTTGAGACATACAGTTTAAAAGCATTAGAAGAATATATCCATTAGCTTTTCTGATATTCATTAGTCAAATTCAAGCTTTCTGTGCAAATATCTTACACATATTTGAATTTTTTTGAGCTACTGAAAAACTAGCACATGCACATTCAACTATTTTAAATGTTCTTTAAAAAAATGCAAATTCTCATAAAATAACTGCAGGAGTTAAGCTTTTTTAAAACACTTTCAAGGAATTTTTACCTGTTCTGGCATAGATCCAAGTTCAATCCCACTTTTCAAAAGCCTGTAGCAGTTTCCAAACAGTTCCCATTTTGTAAGATCGTGAGCACTAATAAAAGAAAATTTTAAAGTGATAACTGACCGTTTTCTTCTACGATCCAGGCTGTTCGGGTTTCATAGCTTTCTCAGAACATTGCATTCAATAAAAAGGTTAAAAACAAACATCCGTCTTGCAATAGACCAATGTGATCCAGATTGCTGCAGCTTAGAATGATCATAATTTGAAGTCCACCATTCGTTATTCAACACACAGTGGCTGAAGTTTAAAAACTCCACTAAGTTTCAAACTCAATTAGTTACATAATATCTAATAGCTTATCAATTACACCAATGGTATGACTACCTTAAGCAAATAATGGTAAACTATGTCCAAGTTTCAGTTCAGAACTGTAGAAATTAAAATTAGTTACTACCAAAGATTTTCTTTAAATGAAATTAATGTAAAATACAAACAAATCTAAAAATGACAAAGTGTGGAATGCAGAATTTATTCCACTTGTTTTCAAACCTCTAACATCATTGTTAGAACACTTCCTATATATTAAAACAACAGCTCTAAGTATGCTTGTTTTAGACCAAGTCTTTTAGAGGACTATGTCCTTAATGTGAAATTTATCACTGAATATTCCAAACTGATACTACTTTAATGAAATATTTCCTGCTGATTTATCTTCTCCAGCTGTAATTCTGAGCTAACAGTTCCCTTTCAATGGTCCAACTAATGCCATCCTATAGCCAGTGCTGAATGGTCTGAAAGCATATCTACTGTATCAATTTTTCTTCCCTTACTGCAAGGAACCTAGTTTTTGCCTAACACATATTCACTATTAGGGTGAACACACATCAGCTGGAGAACAATAAAGACAAGGCTACATTCCAGCACTCTATAGTATCATGCAAAAGTGCTCCACTGCATTGCTGCACCCTGTCACCCTGAAAAAGCAAAATGCTTATTATATAGAACAAGCTCACTTTCACATACTTGTGGAAGGCAGTTAACCTCTTCAAAGTAGAGAGAACATTATAAATGTCATCATCATCTGCTTCTTCTCCCTATGAAAACAGATAAAATTGATGCAGCCTTTAAAACATTTCATACAATACGGTGAATAAAGGCAAGAACTGCAGTTCAGACACTTATAAATCCACACTGCAGTCTACCAAATAAAAATGTCGTACTTCCAATTTCAAACTATTACAAGGGAGCTTCTTCTGAATTTTAGAAAATGTAATTTAGGAGGTGAAAACCTTCACAAACTTTTAATCATTACTTCAAATCATACAACCGGCTTACTGATGTTCAGTTTGGGGTCCATCCAAAGCCAATCATTACAGCCTTGGCTCAAACATGGACAAAAGAACTGAATTCCAGAGGTGAATTGAGAATGGCTGCCCTTGACGTCAAGCCAATACTATATTGATTGTGGTATCAAGGAGCCCTGGCACAACTGAGGTCAGCTGAGGTGGGGTGGGGTCAGTGGAATCCTCCACAGTAAAGAAGTACAAGATGTAGATGGTTATTAGAAGCCAACAGTCTCAGTCCCAGCAGTTCAAGCTGATGATTCACAAACACTTTCTCAAGGGCAATTAGGATGGGCAACAATTTAGCAATACCAGCATACCAAAGAATATAAAACTTGTCAAATGTAATTCTTTTAGCCACAAAACAAACTGACATATCAATCAAAACCCTCAAGATTGTAAAGCACATCTTTACAACAGATTGGATACTACTATTCTAAGCAGATAATTTATTTATTGACACAGTTCACACTCACCTCTTGCAATAAGTCTTCAACTGACTGACTGAATCGCTCTACCAGCTCATCAATCATCTGACTGCGTGCAATGTTAACACGGTTCTGAATTGTGTATTCGTCACTACACAGGATGTTATACGTTTTGCTGCATGATTCTAAGACATCTGATTCTATGTGCTTTTCAACAACAAACTTAGTTTGTTTTAGCAATGCATCGAGGTGCTGGGAGAGGGGGGAAAAAAAATCAAATAAGCATACTTTTATTTCCCATTAAAAACATTATTTATTAACAAGGTAGGAATATGATTCTTTTTTCATGCAGCTCATTTTTAGTCATTCATGTTCTCATGCAGGATCTTTATCATTTTATTTTCTACTCTAGTAGCAAGTTCTCCAGAAGTAGTATAGCCTCACTTCTTGAGCATTGCTCACCCACTTTGAGGCAAAGTCACTGGCCTCTACTCAGCATCTCCCTTTACTGGGAGGGCTTAAAAATGAAACTGCATCCTGTCACTTTGAGAGTGAGTTGGAAATCCAAAAGCACTGGCTGCTTTGTTCCATCACCATGAAAAGATAACCTCGCACTTACTGTACAACTTTCTTAACTGAGTAAATGGATCACTACGAATCAGAATTTACTTCAACCATTCCAAATAGCACGAATAGCAGTCAATAATAGAAACAGTAATTTTACATGCAGGAGAACCATTGATCCATTTTTTTTTTCTTTTCAAGGAAGTTATGCCCAAAACCTGGTGTCCAATTTAATTACATGTTACTTTGTCATAATAGAAGTGAAATGACTGTGCTGAACTTCATTTCCACTAAACAGACACAATCTTTACATGTTGTATACATTTTCCCAAATGGAAATAAAAATTTTGACATTTTCGCAAATTTGAATATACACCGAAGGAAACTATTTTGTTAAGGTTTTTGCTAGCGCTAACTGAACACCAACACCTTAAAATGTAGAAAGTACAAGATAGAGGGGGCTTCACCCTGTCAGTTTATGACATTTGACCTGAATTTAGAGATGGTATTGCTGCCTTGAGAGTCACACTCAAGCATCTATTATTCCATGAGATTCTGAGAAAAAATTAAGTACAGAATATATTACAAGATAATTCTCATTACTATTTACCTTTTCCATTCTTCCTGTACTGTACAGTTCCAAGTCAAAGAACTGAGGGATTTGCAATAGGTTTGCCACTTTCTCAGAATCAGCTGAGTACTAAAACACAATGAATATCCAAATTCAATATTATTTACATTCAGAAAATAAATGAACTGTAATTTTAAAGCATATTCATTCTCATCTGGATGTTTACTGTATGAATACTGCGCAAATATTACAAATTAGTTACCTTTCCTAACATCATGGGGAGTGCCACGATGAACTGTTCTGTCAATTTAGTGCGATCATCTATCTGCATTTTTCTCTCCTTTGCAGTTAAGACCTATAATAAGATTGCAATGGAAGTTTTCAAACTAACTTTGCAAATTTTTACATTTATTCATAGATTTATGTACATAAAGGCAATTGTTAAGTACCTAGAATGAATTACAAGTTGCCCACAAAAAGCCTCTAAGTTGAAACAACACATACAAAAATATTTGTTCAATTTAATCTACCGCAATAGAAAAGTTGAAGACTTCATACTGAACTTTAGCAAGAGGCTAGGATTGCAACCACCAAGTTCTGTTCCTCCAGGGATTGAGAACGTATATCCACATATTCTCAAAAAGGTATTCACACATTGCCACTGTTGTAATAAAGGAAAAGGGCAGCCAAACTGTGCACAAACAATAACTTGATAAAGACCAGCTAATGGGTTTTTGTGACATTGGTTCAGAGATAAATATCAGCGATGACATAGCCATAAATCACTAGTACTTCTTTAAAATACTGCCCTCAGGGTGATTGAAAGGGTCTTGTTTCATTGTCTTATCGGAAAGATGGCACTACCAATAGAGCAGCACTTCCTCAGAGCTAAATTGGAATATCACACTTGATTTTTATGCTCAAGTCCTGGAATGGAACTAAAATATACAATCTGGTGACTAAAGCAAGATCATCATTTTTCATTTGTTCATGGGTTAAGGGCATCACTGGCTGGGCCAGCATTTGTTTCCCATGCCTGATGGCTCAAAGGGTTGTTGAAAATCAACACATTGCTGTGGATCTGGAATCACACATAGGCCAAACCAGGATGGCAGATTTCCTTCCCTGAAGGACATTAGACGGGTTTTTACAATAATCAGCCACCAGTAGACTAGCATTTTACTCCAGATTTTTGCTACTGATTTCAAATTTACCATGGTGAGGCTTGAATCCATATCCTCAGAACATTAACCTCAGGTTCTGGATTAATAGCTCAGTAACATTACCACTATGCCATCGCCGCCTCTACCTGAGTCAACTGAAATCTAAATTTAGATACTTCGATAACCATGGTACCATTTGATTGACAGAATTATCTCCTCTCATTTGTGATTAATCCAATTATAGATTATGGGGATGATGGAGGGACAATGGTGCAGTGATACTGTCACTGGACTATTATTGAGACCCAGGCAATGTTCTGGGATTCAAATTTGAATTTTACCCTGCCAGATGGTGGAATTTTAAAAAATTTGAATTGAAAGTCTAACGATGACCATAAGACCACTGTCAAATTGTAATAAAATCCATTTGGATCACTAACGTTGTTTTGCTGCCGAATTTACCTGGGGTCTGGCCTGCAGGAGCAGAATTGTATTCAGTCACAATCATAGCCAGTCATATCCTCTACTCTCTCTACCATCGATCCAGGAAATCAAACCTGGTTCAATTATGAGTGCAGGAAGGTATGCCAGGATCAGCACCAGGTAAACCTAAAATTGAAGGGTCAACCTGGTGAAGCTACAACACAGGACTACTTGGGTGTCAAACAACATAAACAGCAAGTGATAGATAGAACTAACGGATTCTACAATCAATGCACCAGGTCTAAACTCTACAGTCCTGCCACATCCAATCATGGATGGTAGAAGACAATTAAAAACTCACTGGAGGAGAGGGCTTCACTAATATCCACCCTCAATGATGGGGGAGCCCAGCATATCAGTGCAAAAGATGAGGCTTTTGCAAAAATCTTCAGCAAGAAGGATCCAGTGGATGATCAATCTTGGCCTCTTCTGGAGGTTCTGAGCATCACTTATGTCAGTCTTTAGCCAATTCAATTCACTCCATGTAGTATTAAGAAATAGCTGAAGGTTCTGGATACTGCCAAGGCCTTTAGGTCCTAACAATATTCTGACAACAGCACTGAAGTTTTCTTCTTTGGAACTTGCTGTGCACCTAGCCAAGCTGATCCAGTACAGCTACAACAATGGTATATACTCAACAGTGTGGAAAAATTCCTAGGCATGCCCTTTACACAAAAAGAAGCAAAGATCCAACCTGAGCCAAGTCCCGCCCCATCACGTACTATCGATCATCATTTAGGTGATGGAAGGGGTCATCAACAGTCTTATACTGTTGATGACCTGCTTAAGAACCTGCTCACTGATACTCAGTTTAGTTTCCACCAAGACCATTCAGCCCTTGACCTTTTACAGGCTCGCTTCAAACGTGGACAAAAGACTGAACTCCAGAGGTGAGATGAGAATGTTAGCCCTTGATAACAATGCTGCATTTGACTGAGTGTGGCATCATGGCGCTCTAGCAAAACTGAAGTCAATACGAATCATGGCGAAAATCTCCACAGGTTGAGAGCCATACCTAGTGCAAAATAAGATGGTTTAGTTGTTGGAAGTCGGTCATCTCAGCTCCAGGACATCACTGCAGGAGTTCTTCAGGGTAGTGTTCAGAACCAACCATCTTCAGCTACTTCATCAATAACTTCCCATCCATCATAAAGTCAGCAGTGGGGATCTTCGCTGATGATTCACAATGTTCAGCACTATTCATAATTACTAAGGCAATGAAACAGTCCATGGCCAAATACAGCAAATCCTGGGGTTACCATGGCAAATAAAATTAACTGAACTAGCAATTTAAACAACTTCAAGAGCAGGTCAGAGGGTAAGAATTCTACAGTAACTAAGTCATCTCCTGACTCTCCAAAGTCTGTCCACTCTCTATAAGGCACAAATCAGCAGTGTGATGGAATGCTCCCCATTTGCCTGCACGAATGCAGTTCAACTAACACTCAAGAAACTGCACACCATCCAGGACAAACAGCCTGCTTGATCAGCACCCCATTCACCATCTTGAACATTCACTCCCTTCACCACCGAGGCACAGTTGCAGTTTGAATAATCTACAAGACGCAATGCATAAATTCATCAAGGCTCCTTCAATAGCATCTGCCAACCCCGCAACTACCATCTCGATGGACAAAGGTGGAGATACATGGAATGCTATCTTATACAAATTCCTCTCCAAACCACTAATTACCCTGACTTGGAAACGTATCGCTGTTCTTTCAGTGTTGGTGGGTCAAAATCCTAGAACTCTCTTCTTAAAAGCATTGTGGGTATACCATGAAGGCAGCTCATCAACTTCTCAAGGGTAACTATAGATGGGCCATAAATGCTGGTCCAGCCAGCAAAGCTCAAATTCCATGAATGAATAAAGGATAACTATTGCCATTTTCTAACTGATAGATTAATCACAGATGAGAGTAAAGAATTCTAACCAAATAACTTTGAACAGTTATTGTTATATACCGGATTTAGCTTTAATTATATGTGAAGTATAAAGATGTTAAAGTTTTGTGCCAAAAAGTAGGAAACTTATTTATATGTATCAACCTTATTCCCTTGACTTCAAACCTGTGCCTCTTCAGGGGTTAAAAGTGCAGTACGTACCCTTTTGCCTGTTCCTCTTCCAACTGGAGGATGTGCTTCTGCAGCTTGCCGAATTGTACACACCATAAGCTCTATGAGCGCAGTTTCCTGCCTGTCAGTCATACCTAGTAAAGATTAAACAGCTTCAAAATTGCAGAACATTCCTGATGATGTTGTATAAGGAACAATTACAAAATCAGCACAGTATTTGGACAGTTTATAATGCCCTGGATTTTGCAGTGGTAAGACAGTATAAAACCATCCGCGGTCACAGATACTACTCCACAAACTGACAAATTCTGTAGTCTGCACGTGCGCAAGTGACAAACGGAAATCCAAAGACTTCAGTCAGTGAATCACCGATGGTTATAGCACAGGAGATCATTCAGCTTGTTGTGCCTGAGTTGCCTCTCTGTAACTTGACAAAGTCACAACTTTTCCCTGTCGTCCTAAAATTTTTCTCTCTTCAGATGATTATCCAATTTCCTTTTAAAACTCAAAACTGAATTAAGCTCCAGCACACACTCAGGCAGTGCATTCTAGATCCCAAATGCATGCGAAAAACAGCACTTCCCTATGTCACTGTTGCTTCTTTTTCCAGTCATAATTTAGTGCCTTTTGTTTCTCTTTTTTTCCACCATTGGGAACAGACTCTCCCCTCTACTCTGTTCAAACCCTTCATGATTTTGAATACCTCAATCAAATCTCCTTTCTCCAAGCAGACAACGCCAGCTTCTCCAAACTACCTACATAAATGAAGGCCTTCATCTCTGGAACAATTCTTGCAACCTGTTTTCTACAAGCTCTAACAACAGTAACTCCATTCTTCCTAAATTGGATTTTCCGAAGTTGGGCACAATACTGTAAGTAAGATCGATCGGGGTATCACTTGGTTTATCATAACTTTCTTTGTAATATGCTCCTTTTAATAAGGCCCAGAATCTCATACACTTTATTAATCACCCTCTGAAACTGCCATGCCACCCTCGACGATCAGTAGGTTCCTCTGCTCCCGAACCCCTTTTAGAATTGTACTGTCAATATCACATTGTCACTCCTCATTCTTCCTCCAAAAACAAATCACTTCACTGTCCTCATCTCTATCAATCTACCAGCATCCTTTGTCTACATTCTTGTGATGTTTAAAAATATTATCTTCTTCACAGTTCACAATACTTGAAAGATTTGCATCATCTGCAGATTTCAAACTTGTGTCATGAAAACCCTTACCCATGTCAATAACATACCAACAACAGTAAGGATCCTAACTGACTACTAGGAAATCCATTCATTTACCGGTCTTTCAATCAATTTTGCATGCATGCTGTTACTGTCCCTTTTATTCCACGAATTCTTAATTTTATTCACAATCCTATTATGTGGCACTTCATCAAATATCTTTTGAAGTTCATGCACATGTATTAACTGCATTATCCTAGACCAAACTCAATTTTCCCAATTGACCGTTAGTTGGGCTCTCAATTGTAGTTTCAAAAAGTTTAATCATCGAGGTTTTTTTACCCCATTTTGTGGCGTATATCAGCTGTGCTGTTGAAATTAATTACCAATCACATTATTCAATTGTGTGGTGGGCAGAATGCGTTTTGGATCGATGGCAACATCCTGTTCATGGAAAAAAAGACTATCGAGTGCTAGCCTATCTTCACTGCTCAATGCAGGCATTGGGAATCTTACAGCTTCACATACTTTCAGACTGAAAGTCTCATAAATAAGGCCCAGCCATTTGATCCTCATGCAAGTTCCTCTGATATCAAAATCAGGCATATCAAATCTAGCCTGCAGGCTACCAGCTACACCAATCAGAACATGGCATTATGTATATTACACCTACACATGAATAGGCCAAAGGCCACCACTTTCATGACTGAAATTTTCCCAGTCAACCACAATTACCACAATGCTGTAGCAATGAGTTGACTTATCCACTTCAGCACGTCTCTTATTTCAGTGAAACTAATTTTATATTTTAGTGTTAACTTTCTCTTGTCAAATATTCCAAAATTTAATTTGTCTTTTAAAGTTTACGACATTTCAGAATCTTACTTGCTTGTGCAATCATTTAATTTGCTCTTTTAAAAATGTTATAAAAATTGAAGGATTAACACTGTACTTTACCTCCAGGTTGGCTCCATGTGAGAATATTTCAATGAAAATGGCTGCTCGCCCTACCTAATGACATCACTGTCAACTGGTGCTAGATTCAAACTAATATTAAAAGGTGACATGTGCACCATAGAGATCATTAGATCTTTGCGGGCAGCTTTTCATGAGGTCAGCAATGAATGAAATCACTTCATCACTGACCACTAAATTTAGACCTTTGCTTATTGTTTCAACATGTTATTTGGTGAGGGCTGGTTTCTTCCAACTGGCTTAACCCTTATGCATCTTTTACTGTGGTGAGTGTGATTTTTTTTTGATGCCAGCAATTATGTAAGACTTACAAGCACAATAGGTCAGTAAGGATAGTCAAAATCTTGGAAAAATGTTCCCAATTTGGTTTCAGCAAGTAAATCTTTGACTGATGCACTTTCCTTAGCACATCAGTCACATGCTTCAGAATCAGGAGTTTCATGTGCCTTCATTGCACTGGATGGTAAACCAAATATTCCCGAGAAAATGTTAGTAAACAGGCTTCAAATAGTTTCCTCTTACTGTAAACTTTCACAAATCATTGTCATAATTATTATTCACATGAATGTTAAATTTTGCAAAGAATATTCTCAAATTACTTAGCAAAAACCAACTCTATAAGCCTATTGTACTAGTAAACTCTGTTATCATTAAGATAATATGTTTTTATAATTAAACATTTAGTTACCTTCTTCTCCTTGTATAGGCTCTTCCAACAGCAATTCTACCATACATTCCCAATCCTTGAGAAGTTCTTGGGAGCTTTCCCATAAACTATCCACCAGATAGGCAGCATGCTCATGCAACTGAAATGTTACAGTTTGAAAAGCAAACAAGCAAAATAAGTTGAATTAAATTTCTAGATGGGAATACACAGTTTTCAAATTCTACTTTTAAATGTAGATGTTAAAGTTAAACAGCAAAATTGCTAAGGGACCACAGTTTCAGATGACCCCCTGCACTCTTCCAAAATAGACCCAAGGGACATAGAACTTCTGATCCAGATTGGAAACTCTATTTACGACATTCATCAGACAATAGTTTACACTATGAACTTCCTCTGATTTTTTTTGCCATCTCCCAATGGAGGATTCTTCAAAACTGACTCAGCACTGGAATCCTTGGAAGTAGCAGCACACAGAATCTGTGAGAAGCCATACCCTCTTTCTATAATTCTTGCTGCCATATTCCAGTAGAACTACAATTTAAATGCCCCAAAGCTCTTTTGAAAAGCTCTGGAGAGAGACATGTGTGCAAATGGGTGGATATGGAACTCAGTCAGTAAGGCATGTCGGGTAAGGAGGGTGGCATATATGTTAGGGTAGGTGCCAGAAGTGAATAAGGGGTAAGGATGGTGATTGATCTGACCCAATTACTGCTATCAAAGTGGAAATTGTGGGAAGGGGATGGTCCAGTGAGAGTGACTAGAGGAGAGAGGAGTTAAATTAGGCTTTTTGTAAACCACCACTTCCTGGCTAACTATTCAGCTAAGTAAATCTGAACTGCCCATAGTCTCAGACAATAGCTCAGACCCGGAGACACTTTCAGAGGGTTCTGGAAAGCAGGGGAGTTGCTTATCGGATGTTCAAACTTCTTGGGCAATTTCCACAGAGTCCTTGCTTTGCAATATACAAGGGACACCTTCCAGAGTATATCAACTTCTGACCATCCTGGATCAGAAGATCTTGACTAAGATCACAGTGAAACTGAAATGTTGACTGGAATGACCACTGTATTCTCAAACATGAAAGTATGATCAACCTTTCTTTAATTCTTAAATGCTTTCAAATAGCCAGAAACAAAAAAAAAAACTTCACTAATTTTGAATAGAGCAGGAGGGAAAGACAATTGGAGCAGGGAAATGTTGCAAATATCTGCCCCCATGACTAGTGTAAAGCCAGATTTCTCTGTGAATTTCTGTGCCATTGTGAAACAAATCAGAGACAACTGGATTATGTTACATTTGATAGCCTTCATCAAAGTAAATGTATAGAAATAATTCAACAGAATATTATTTTTTCCACTATTACATATAATATTAAATATCACTAACAAATATAACACCAAAATATGCTGCTTAAACAATCTGTAGACTGACATTACGGCACAGTGTATATTTAATTGCAGTACTATTGCTGATCATAGTTCCATCCAGATTTTTCTCGTAGTTCAATTCCCCTCATTTATTTCAGCAAGTTATTCCTTTGTTAGCTGATCCCAAATTCCCTACCCATTAGCCACAACAGAATGCATGCCATCAAATCACCTCAATAATGTAAGCAAAGTATTAACACAGCTTTGCAACCTCATGGTCTTTTGATACTTTCTCAGAACCGCTGTATTCCTTTCTATTAATAGGTCACCTTTTTGTTGACTATTTCAATTCTTGATTTCAATTCTTTGATCTTACCTCACTTTCTAGGAAGAAAAGTACCAACATCTTAATAAGATTTCCGTTTGGGCTATGCCTTCCCCTACTCTTTGCGTAGGCCTCTTCTGCTTGTGGATCATGTCGACTGAACAACCTAAAATTTATAATTGAGATGTTGTGAAACTTTCCCACATGCATCATAGTACAGTGATTATTCTTTGTCCATGCAAACAGCAGTTAAAAGGGCTTACAACATTGTTTGTAACGGGCTGATGTTTTTTGGCTCCCAAACAAAGTTAACAGTCTTTATAATGTGCATTTCGGAGGTTGTAGGGAAAGAAAAGGTAGCAGAAAGCTCATAAAGGTGCCTCATAATATTTCATAATTTATCCTGTAATAGTTGGAAAATATGAAGGAAATACACAAGAAGAGATAAATTAGTAGAGAAAAGATCAAACAAATTTTGTTGAAAGAAAATGATGTATTGTAGGATATTACATGGCTAACTATCAACTTTGTCTGAAGCACTACCACATTACACTGATTTGGTACTATGTCATCAAGTTATGACATAAGCAGTGAAAGTTAAAACTAATGTATTTATGGAGAAATAGCTGCAGAAGTCAGAAATAGCATCTCTACTCCAGCATCTGTACAAGCAGCTACTTTCATAACAAACAGCACTTATATCTCAAGTTCAGCATTACTTTTTAAAAAGTGCAATAATCACTGCTGTAATTCCTTGAAAATACTGTAAATTGCCACCTCGTTATTTTAGTTTAAATCTTTCCTCAATTTTGCCACCTTGTGGACATTACCTACATTCTTTTTTAAATTCAGTGCTGCCATCTGCTGTACTGATTTTACATTGCAGGTAACTAAATTTTCGGGAAAAAATGAGTTGAAAAGGAAACAAAAAGCTTGGTTTCACATAGAGTACTTTTCATGATCTCAAGATGCCCAAAAATCTTTAAACCTATCAAGTCCTTTTAAAGTTTGGTGAACGTTTTCCAATATTGGGATCCCACAAACAGCAATAAAATAATGATGACTTTTGTCAGGGATATTTTAGAGGCAGTGGTTTGGTCACTGAGGCTCGGGCGAGCTTCACAGCTCTACTTCAAACAATGCCATGAACCATTTATAGCCATCCAAGCAGAAATATGGGAGTCACATTTTAAAATTTCATTGAAAAAAAACTGCATTTCTTCAGTAATATCAGCCTAAATTTTGCACTCAAATCTCTGTATTTGAACTCACAACCACTAAATCGAGGCTAACATTAATGTATTAGGAAACTATTTTTAATGACAATCTAAATTATAAAGGAAACACTGCAATGATATACAGAACAAACATTGTTCAGAAAATCGTATTGTGGCAAAACTGTTTAAAATTCAAACAGTTCAAATTTATAATGCTGCTGTATAATTCAACCATTCAAGGTGTTATGTGATATGGTTCCACCTTGGCTCTTGATCCTAGAAAGATGAATGTTGTTGCATAAATCAGAATGAAATATTTATCATTATGTCCTTCCATGTGAACATTAATTAAACATGAGTCAGTCAGTCTAAAAAGACTGACTTAGGTTTGTTGATAATGCACATACTTTTGAACACACTTTTATACTTCATGGAAAGCTAATGAAGGAGAACAGATAATGTACAACTGTGTCGCTTACTTTTTGTTTAGGAATTCCCCAGCCGCCACAGCAACAGGACGATGTGCAGAATATACAAGGTGATACACATTCTCACAATCTTCATTGGATAATGCCTCCTCACTTCCCCTAAAACAATCATGAAGCCAATAGGACAAAACGTTTATAATGCAAAACTGTAGTACAATTTTTAGATTAATCTATCAGACCCAGTGGGGGTGAAAACAACATTAATAGCCTATCTCCCACCTTGTTAGAGAAAGATATAGTCAGAATGTCCACACTATTACATTAGAGGTGGTTATCTAATTCTCACAACAGGTGAACCAAGATAGGTGTACCGTAAAATGAAAGAATAACAACTTTACTCACTGCAATATCAAAGTGACCAATCGGATAGCTTCCACAGCAACATCATACTCTTTGTCTAATGTCATGGATACAATACGATCCTATAAAGAGAATTCAAAGACTCTGCTCAAGCAAAACAATTTCATTGGGTTACCTTCTATAACAGATTCAGGGGCAGAGACATTTAAACTCTGTTTACACCAATCTCTCAACAATGACAGGAGTTTTTCCAACAATGTAGAATCAAACTAACAAATACGAACACATTAATGAAGATCTGGTGCAGGTCATTTGGCCCCTCAAGCCTGCACAGCATTTAATAAGACCATGGCTTGTGCGACTGAGGACTCAAAACTCACTCTGCTGGATAGGCTCTATACCCTGTGACTCCCTTGTTGATCAAGAATCTATTAACCTGCCTTAAAAATATTCAATGACCCTGCCTCCGTCAATTACTTGGAAGAGAATTATATCGACTCATCACCCAGAGAAAAATTCTCCTCACCGCCATCTTAATTGAGAAAAACCTTGTTTTAAAATGGTCATCTCTCGTTCTAGTCTCTCCTGTAAGAGGAAACATCCTTTCAGCATCTACCTTGTCAAGTCCATCAGGAACTTATATTTCAATAAGATCACCACTAAACTCTTCTAAACTCTAATGATTATAGGCCCAACTTTCCTCATTCCAGGAACCAGTCAAATGAAATTCCTCTGATTGGTTTCTAAAATATTTTAGAAACCATTTAGAAATAAGCTGTCTAAAACTGCACCTCATATTCCAAATATGATCTCATCAATGCCCTGCACAGCCTGCAATTAAACATCACTCAGAGATAGTAAGAACTGCCGATGCTGGAGTCAGAGATAACAGTGTGGAGCTGAAGGAACACAGGAGGTCAGGCAGCATCGGAGGAGCAGAAAGGCAGACGTTTCGGGTCGGGACCCTTCTTCAGACACGGGGCAGGGGGAAGGGAGCTCTGAAATAAATAGAGAGGAGGGGTGGGGCTGAGGAAGGTAGGTGGGATGGTGAGTGCAGGTAGGCTGTGGTAGGGATCGGTCAATGAGGTGGGAGGAGCGGATAGGTGGGGGAGAAGACGGACAGGTCAGGGAGGCAGGGATGAGAGGGGATTGGAAGGGAAGTGAGATGGCAATAGGTCAGTGCAGGTAGGCAGTGATGGGGATTGGTCAGCTCCTTGACCTGTCCGTCTTCCTTCCCACCTATTCACTCCTTCCACCTCACTAACCGATCCCCACCACTGCCTACCTGCACTCACCTATTGCCATCCCACCTACCTTCCCCAGCCCCTCTCATCCCTGCCTCCTTGAACTGTCTGTCTTCTCTCCTACCTATCTCCCTCTCAGCCCCGCCTCCTCGACCTGTCAGTCTTCTTCCCCACTTATCCACCCCTCCCACCTCAATGACCAATCCCCACTGCTGCCTACCTGCACTCATGTACCACCATCCCACCTACCTTCCCCAGCCCCACCCCCCTTCTTTCTATTTATTTCCCAGCTCCCTCCCCCCTCCCCATTTCTGAAGAAGGGTCCTGACCCGAAACGTCAGCTTTCCTGCTCCTCTGATGCTGCCTGGCCTGCTGTGTTCCTCCAGCTGCACATTGTGTTATCTGTAATGAAACATCCCTACTTTTATATTTTGTACCCCTTGTAATAAATGCCATCATTCTATTGCCCTTCCTAACCACCACTGTATGTGTATATTAACCTTTTGAGATTCACGGACCAGGCCAAACAAATCACTCCTTACCTCAGTTCTGTAAGATCTTCCTATTTAAATAATATTTTGTTTTTCTATCCTGCCAAAGTGGATAAGTTCACTTTTTCCCCACACCATATTCTATCTGCCCAATTTCCACGCACTCACTTGACTTATTCATATCATTTTCAAGTATCCCTATGTCCTGTTTACAACTTACTTTCTGACCTACATTTGTGATATCAGAAAATTCAACAACCATATACTCAGTCCCTTCATCCAAGTTCTTGCAAATACTTGTGATTCTCTTGCGATTAATTTCTAAACTTCAGCTGCAGGAAATTTTAAGCTTTCAGATACAATATTCATGCCTTGCCTCTTTTTAGTTCTGGATTCTTGGCCAGTTAAAGTACACCTGGGCCACAACCCTCTCCACTGTAGCAGTTAAAGTCATGCTATGACTGACTACTTAACAGGAGGTGCATGTTTTGTGGTCCAATGATGAACTAATGGAATCAATTAATAATAGTTTAGTCTGAATGTCAGCATTGCTAGAAATCAAACATGCTCTCTCCATTGGAATTTAAACACTTGCTACTTAAAACACTGAACCATTTTATTTAATTCATTGTATGCGAACACAGCAATGTAACGCAATTGTAAGTTAATGCCGCCCATTTGGTGTTTTACAAATATTTCTACAACACATCCTAAATCTGAAATGATCAGAAATCTAATAGCAAACAGCTTCTGCACAAGTCAGCTATACTTCAACAAAATACAGAACAAAAAATTCAAAGCAAATTGTTCTTTCAAAAGTACATAATTTTGTCTAAAATTAAACACTAAATATATAAACAATGGTAATATGAACTATACATTCTCTAATACATTACTGTGCATGCTAAGTGAAGAATATCACAAGAAATGGTTATCGTTGTCTGAGACAGAAAAAAAGCAAACAGAACTGCAGATATTGGAGTCAGCTACAACAGGCGAGCAGCATACAGATGTAGGCTTTATAAATGACATTACGTTGCAACTTTTTCACTAACCATTCAAACTTCAACAGCTTTGTAAATATACAACTAATATTTCTTTCAGAAATGTTTGATAGTAACATTGGGAAAACTATGGTATACTGTTATGCTGCACCTCCTCCAAACTCTCAGGGCAGGTACATTTTAATGATTTAATTAATTAACTGGTATTTCGTGTCTTGGCCTTAACATACTGAAGCATCACATAACCCTATGCTGAAGCTACCTTGCCTTCTCTGCATCAATTTACATTCAAAACTGCATTACAATGTTATAAAAGGGATGGAATAACTGTGCAATAAATGAATTTAGATATGAACGGCATGTATTTTCCACAAATTCTAGGTTTAGAAGGTTCTACAGCATATATACGGGCATCAGGGTATCAATTTAATTTCATATTTTCAAGCAACAAGACGGTAGAACCCACACTGATTTTTCACTTTTCTTTTATTCTAATTTTGGTTTGCAGCTATGAACTGAGAGCTGAAAGGTGATCTTTGGATTGTGAGCAGTTGCTAGTTTAAAAAAATCAAATAAACTGCTGTTTGTTTGAGGGTTCACGACTGAAAGTTAAATGCAGATTGGTTCTTGACCAGAAGATTCTATAGACTCTTCTGACACTGGGGAAAGCAGCACGTTTAACCAGAGAGCATATGTTTGCCCACTGACGAGGTCAGTACCTGGGAATGAGTATCAGCAAGTCTGGGCGGGAACATGATGGTCAAACAAGGAGAGGCTAAAGTGTGAACCAGTTTTTGAATGGGATTTAGAGGCATAGAGTCATACAGCAGGGAAACAGATACTTCAGTCCAACTCATCCATGCAAACCAAGTTTCACAAACAAAATTAGTCCCATTTGCCTGCAGAGGTGGAGTTTGGCTGTTGATGCTCGAGCACAAAGATTTGAAAGCTCCCTGGTTAACCTTTCATTATCATTATCACTATTGGAAGTTTAGAGAATAGAGACTAAATTTTAAGTATTACTGAAAATTTCTCAAAGTGAATTGACAAGGTCGCAATGATCAATTCCTTCAGAACATCAATAAAGAAACAATCATACATATCTGTGGAAGAACATTTTCCGAAAACACTGAAGTAATCTAGCCAGTTCTGTTATTCGCTGTTTTCTAATCTATCCTTTAACTGTGTTTATTTGTCTGTATTTTGTGAGAATGGGGCTGAAAACAATGGTTTTTGGGTTTAAAACACAGACATTAATTAGATTACGCTGTTGCTTAATTCTGCTCTGCTGACGTTGGTGTATTGTTATTAAATTAAGTCTTTGGTTTAAGCTACGGAAACAGAATCTGGAATCGATTATTCACAAAATCTAAGACTGGTTATTCAAAATGTATGATTAGGAACCAAAGGAGTCAATTTTGACGGTCTTTGAAAGTTTTAATTCGACTGTATTGTGAATAGAGGTAGGGAGGCTGATTTGATTCAGCTGCAGCTATACAAAACCCTGATTAGACCCATCTTGAAGTACTGTGAGCATGCCACATCTTAGAAAGGATACACTGATTTTGGAGGGAGTACAATCTATATTTACAAGGAGGATACCTTGGCTTTGAGTCATAGAATCATATAGCACGGAAACAGGCCCTTCGGTCCAGCTCATCCATAGGACCAGATTTCCTAAACTGAACTAGTCCTTTTTGTCTGCAATTGACTCATACTGTTCGAACCTTTTCCTATTCCTATACATGCCCAAATTTCTTTTAATTGTTGTAATTGCACCCACCTCCTCTGGCAGCTCGTTCCATATACGCACCACCCTCTGTGAGAAAAAGTTGCCCCTTGGGTCCCTTAAAAATCTTTCCCCTCTTATCTTAAACCTATGATCTCTAGTTTTGAACTCTTCTACCGTGAGGAAAAGACCTTGGCCATTCACCTGATCTATGCCGCTCATGGTTTTCCAAAACTCTACAAGGTCATCCCCTTGGCCTATACTCCAGAAAAAAAAAGTCCCAGCATATTGTTATAACTCAAACATTCCAGTCTTGGTAATATTCTTTTAGATCTTTTTTGCACCCTTTCCAGTTTAATAACATCCTTTCTATAACAGAGCAACCAGAACTGTATGTAGTATTGCAAATATGGCTCTACTAACGTCATGAACAGCTGCAACATGACATCCTAACTCCTGTACTCAGTGCTTAGTCCAATGAAGGAAGACGTGCCAAATGCCTTCTTCACTACAATCTACCTTTGACAGCACTTTCAAGGAACTATGTATCTGTATCCGTCGGTCTCTCTGTTCGATAACTCTCCCCAGACCCCTATCATTAACTGCACAAGTCGTACCCTGGTTCGTCTTAACAAAATGGAACACTTCGCATTTTTCTGCATTAAACTCCATCTGCCATTCCTCAGCCCACTGGCCCAGTTGATCAAGATCCCACTGTACTCTTAGATAACCTTTTTCACTTTACACTACACCATCGATTTTAGTGTCATCCGCAAACTTATCATCCACGCCTCCTATATTCTCAACCAAATAGTTTATATAAATGATGAAAACAGTGGACCCAGCATAATCCTTGCAGCACACAGCTGGTCACAGGCCTCCAGTCTGAATAACTTTACCACCAACCCCTCTCTCCTACCATCAAGCCAATTTTATATCCAAAGAGAAACTCTCCCTGTATCCTATGTGATCTAACCTTACTTACCAGTCTACCATGCTGTATCATGTTGAAAGCCTTGCTAAAACCCATGTCGATAACATCTACCACATGGCCCTTGTCTGTGATCTTGGTCACTTCTTCAGAAAACTCTCTACTAAGTGCATCAATGTCTCTAGTCATCCAGTGTTCCTGCCAGCCCTGTCCTTCACACTAAAACAAACATGCTGGTCCTGAACTCTTGTTATCTTGCTGTTGAAAGCCTCCCACTTGTCAAATGCCCCTTTACCTGTGAACAGCCTCCACAAACCAACTTTGGAAAGTTTCTGTGTAATACCATCAAAACTGACCTTGTCCCAATTTAGAATTTGAAAGTGTGGACCAGAGCGATCCTTTTCCATAACTATTTTAAAACTAACAGAATAACGATCACTGGTCTCAAAGTGCTTCCACACTGACACCTCAGTCACTTGCCCTACCTTATTTCCCAAGAGGCTGTCAAGTTTTGTCCTCTCTCTACATATTGATTGAGAATTTTTTTCTTGAACAGACTTAACAAATTCCTCCCCATCCAAGCCCTTTACATTATGGCAGTTCCAGTTCATGGTTGGAAAATTAAAATCCCCTACTATTACAACCCTATTATTCTTACAGCTATCCGTGATCTCCTCAAATTTCCGCTCCTCAATTTCCTGCAGACTACTGGGGGGTCTATAGTACAATCTCATCAAAGTGATCAACCCCTTCTCATTTCTCAGTTCCAACCATATAGCTTCACTGAACAATCCGTTAAGAATATCCTCTCTTAGTTCTGCCACGATGTCTTCCCTTTTCAAAAGCTCCACTTCCCTATTCTCTCGCCTCTTCTTCTATCCTTCCTGTAGCACCTGTGTTCTGGAATATTGAGCTGCAAGTCCTATACCTCCCTCAGTCGTGTTTCTGTAATAGCTACGATATCCCAGTCCCATGTTCTCATACATGCCCTGGGAGTTCATCTGCCTTATCTGTCAGACCTCTTGCACTGAAATAAATGTAGTTTAATTCATCAGGTTCAGAGATTAAGTTATGAGTTGAGAATTGTACAAAGTAAGCCTGTTTTCTCTAGAATTTGCAAGGTTAAGGGGTGATCTGATCGAAGTCTTAAAAGATAATATCAGAAAAAGACAGGTTAGATAAATATAAACTATAAATATAAACTGGTTTGGGATTCTAACTTGGGGGGCATTGTCTAAAAATTAGGACCAGATCATTCAGGACAGATATTAGAAAGCACTTCTACAAACAAAAGGTGGTCAAGACTTGGAACGCTGTTCCACAAATGGCAGTTACCGCTAGTTCAGTTGTTAATTTTGAATCCAAGATAGATACATTTTTGTTAAGCAAAGGCATGGGGGATATGGGCCGAAGGTAGTTATAAGGAGTTAGGCCACAGGTCAGCAATGATCTCAGTGAATGGCGGAACAGGATGAATAGCCTGCTCCTGTTCCTATGTTGCAACCAAGTCCACTAAATCATTTAACTGTATCCATTTTTGGAAAATCTAAAAAATGAATGTTAAAATATACTTTTTAAACTGACTACGTTTTCAATCTAATTGAATAGAGACATTCTCACCTTGAACCTATTGGTGAAGAGTTCTAGTTTTGGGAAGAGTTCCTTATTAGTGTACAGTGACTGCAGAGCTTTAAGACATTTCAGCCTCACTTCACCTTGCTAAATGCAAATGAGAAAAAAGAGAATTAATTAATTTGCATACAACTGTACAAAAACAATGCAAGAAAACAACAAACTTTGCCTCTGGTCCTTTTTGTTTTATTCATTCACGCTTTAATATTCTTTGCCAACTGTCCTTGAGGTGGTGACGGTGTTGAGCTGTCTTCTTGATCTGAAGTCCACATGGTGTAGGTACACCTACACTGATATTAGGGGGAGTTCCAGGATTTTGACGCAGTGACAGTGAAAGCACACCAAGACAGTTCTACATCAGCACAGTGAGAGACTTGCAGATGGTGGTATTCCCATATGTCTGCTGCCCTTGTCCATCTAGGTGGAGGAGGTTGCGAGTTTGGAAGGGATAGTCTAAGGAGCCTTGGTGAGTTGTATCAGTTCAGCTTGTTGGTGATGCACGGTGTTGCCAATATCCATCAGTAGTGGAGGCAGTCAATGTTGATGGTGTGACAATTAGTGGGATGCTTTATTCTGGATTGTGTAGAGCTTTGAGTGTGTTATTGGAGCTGCACTTATCCAGGCAGTTGAGAGTATAACATCATCCAACAACAGAAACTGGGAGTAGGATGCTGCCATTTAGCCCTTCAAGCCTGTTTTACCATTCAAATGATCGTGGCTGATCCTCTATCTCAATGTCATATTTCCACTTTCTCCCATACCCTTTGATGCCTTTAAAATCTAAGGATATCTTTCTTTCTTGAACATATTCAGTGACTTGGTTACCACAGCCTTTTGTGGTAGGAAATTCCACTGGTTTGCTACCATTTGAGTTAAGAAAACTTTCCTCAACTCAGTCCTAATTGGTCTACCTTATTTTCTAAGACTATGTCACCTGGTTCTGGACTCCCCACGGTCCTCTCTGCATCTTGTCTATCCAACCCTGTTGGAACTTTATACATTTCAACTTGATCCCTTCTCATCCTTCTAAATTCTAGAGAATAAGGCCCAGTTGAACCGATCTCTTCTCATTTAATAGTCCTGCCATCCCAGATATCAGCTTAGAGAATATCCACTGCACTCCCTCTCCAGCAATTCTATGCTTTCTTAGGCAGGAAGTCTACAACTGCTAACAATACCTCAGGTGTGGTCTCACCAAGACCCTGTATAATGGCAGTAAGACATCCCTAATTCTGAACTCACATTCATGACTTGTGCCTTGTAAATGGTGGAAAGGCGGAAAGGCTTTTGAGAAGGCAGAAGGTAAATTACTCATCACAAAATTCCCAGCCTCAAACCTGCTGTTGTAGCTACAGTTTTTATGGGCCTGATCCAGTTTCTGGTCAATGGCAATACCAGTGAATGTCAAGGAGGGATGGTTAGGTTCTCTCTTGCTGGAGATGCCCATTGGTGTCACACAAGTGCCAGGCAAAGTTGCTTGTTGCTCATCAGCCCAAGCCCCAATTGTTGTCCAGGTGTTGCTGCGAAGGGACAGATCTTGCTTCAGTATCTGAGGACACACTGTATAATCATCAGTGAATATTCCCATCTTTGAGGTTATATTTGTAAGGAAGGCCATTGATGGAGCAGCTGAAGATAGTAGCACCTGGGATACCACCCTGACGAATTTCTGTGGTGATGTCCAATGGCTGAAATAATTGGCTTTCAACAACCACAAACATATTCCTTTGGACTAAGTATGACTGTAAATGGCAGACAGTTTTCCCTGAATCCCATTTACTCAGTTTTGCTAGGGTTCCTTGATGCCACTTGGTCAAATGCTGCCTTGATGTCACAGGCATTCAACCTCTCTTACACTCTGGAGATCAGTTCTCAACCCATGTTTGGACCAAGACTGTAATAAAGTCAGGAGCTGAAGGGCTTGGTGGAACCCAAAAGGAGTGTCTGTAAGGAGGTTATAACTGAGCAAGTGCTGTTTGACAGCACTGTTGACAACACCTTCCATAATCTTGTTGATGTTCAAGAGCAGACTAATGGGTCAATAAGTGGCTCCATTAGATTTGTCCTGCTTCTTGTGGACAGGACACAACTGAGTAATTTTCCACATTGCTAGATAGATACCAGTAATGCAAGTGTACTGGAACAGCTTAGCTAGGGGTGCAGCTAGTTCTGAAGCACAAGTATTTAATACCATTGCCAGAATATTATGAGCACTTATTGCCTTTGTAGTGTCCACTGGTTTCAGCCAATTTTTGATATCATGTGAAGTGAATCAAATTGGCTGAAGGCTAACATTTATGTTGTTTGGGGCTTCAAGGACAAGGCAGAGATGGTTCACCCACTTGGCACTTCTTGCTGAAGATGCTTGCAAATGCTTCAAGGATTATTTTTGTGAAGGTGGACAGACCCATCACGAAGGATGGAAATATTTTTGGAGCTTTCTCCTCCGGTGAGTTATTCAATCGACTGGCCTCATTTATAACTGGATGCGGCCTTATCCTGTATTGTCAAAAATGTTACATACCTCAGTTGGAAGCCTTATACAAGAAAAAGCAAAATGATAACAGATGATTTCATGACAGCCCTGTCAACAGATTTTGTATCACTTCTATTGACGATGCACAATGAACAAAGTTTCTCATCTGTGATCTCAAATCACAAGTGCTATCCTACTTGTGCATACAAGCTGATCAGAATTCACCTGCAAAACTTGAGAATTAGCAATCTTATATAGCCAGAACTGGTGTAACTCTCAGAGAAATTGTGTCTCAGTGATTAAGACATAAATTCAAATTAAGTACATCTGGAAAATCTTTGCTTTTGTGAAATATTTAAAAAATAGGCTGACTTTATTTAGTATTCATACTTCAATAGTGATAGCATAATATTTAGTACCGGAGAGATTATGCATTATGCACAACATCATGTTCTATGACAGAACCTTGACAAGATGGATCTCTTTCTCATAACAATACAAAGCTTCTTCCCCAACACTGCTAAGTATAATATCAATTGACAATCCTTACCCGGTCATGTAGTGTCCATCCCACATACTTTAAATAACTGTCATTGAGAAAGGCATCACTGTAACTCTTCATCCATACACCAATTTCTTCAATACAGATAGCTCGAATCTCTGAAATTGCGTCACTAGAAAATATTGTAGTCCAATTTTAAACACTCTGTTTTTTGTTTTACATTTTCCTCAAATTTTACAGCAACTACTTTTAAGCTTGTCATACATACACAAGTAAGATGCTGAACTATAAAAAAAAATGCTGAGCATTTAGTTACTCTTAGAATTGTACTCAATCTCTGCAAAAATAAATCTGTTTCAAATTCCTGACGTACAAAGCAGAAACTGGTTGTAAATCAATCTTGATTGATACATGCTCAAAGTTCAAATGAATATAACTTGTTTGTTTCAGCACTTCAGTAAAAATTTATAATAACACTCAAGGAGATTAGGCTTCAGGGGTCTGGAGTGTCGTACCCTTGGGAATTAAAGATTTTGCTTTTTTTAAATTTTTGTGGATGAGTAGTGACCCTGTCAAAAGAGACACATATTTTCTTTTTGTTAGCAACTTTCTTATTGTATCAAAAGTAGTTAAAAGAAACAAAAATGATGAAATGTTAGGGCAGATGGAAGAGATAAGGTTTAAGGAACGTCTTCAAATGAAAAGAATGGCAGATAGGTTTCTGGGAATGGAATTCCAGAGCTAAGGGCACAGACAGTTAAAGACTTGGCCACCAACGGTGAAACAATTAAAATTGGGGTTGCTTAAGAGACCAGGTGAGAGGAGGGCATGTGTCATGGCAGAGGCTAGAGGTGACGACAGCAAAAGGGCCAGGCCATGGATGAGATTTTTAAAAATCGAGGTGCCATTTAACTGTGACCCAGGTTAAAGCAGTGAGACCAGGGGTGACAGGTGATCAGGATTTGATGCAAGTTTTGACAGGAATAGTTGAGGTTTGGATCATCTGAAGTTTAAAGGATAAGAGTGCATTGGAAGAGTGAAGTTTGGAGATGGGTAAGGCATTGATGAGGATTTCAGCAACAGAAATACTGATAGGGATGGAAATGGACACAGAATACAAAGGTGAAAATTGGCAGTCCAATAGTATGGATGTGTTTGAAAGCACATCCTGGGATCAAATAGGATACTGAGGTTGTGAACTCTTTAGTTCAAATTCAGACTGGTGCCAGAGAGAGGGATGGAATTGGTGACAAGGAAGCAGAGTTTGTGGTGGGTTAAGACAATGTTTACTGACTTTCTAATATTTAACTGTGCATCTGATTATTGGACTATTTACAATTATTCAAAATTATTTCTCAACCTAATTGTGCAGAAATCACTTACCGATATCTGTGTACAAATATACCCTTAAAAACAGAATTCATCATGTTTTCTATCTCATCTTGATTTTCTTGAAGCTAAAAAGGAGACATAATTAAAACATAAACCATCTATTTGTATTGAAATAGGAAATGCTTCTCAGTTAAGTACATAGCTCAATAAATTAGCTGATGCCATAGTTATTCACAGCTTCAAATCAAAAATTACGTTAAAAAGAAATATTTGAAATAAACTGCAAATTATAATATGCTAAAACTACGAAAGGTTTCAAATGTGGTGAATGCTAAAATTTTGCTGAGCAGTTTTTTCCTCTAGTTTCATCAGGGAAACTAAACTTGGCAATGAGAGAGAAATTTATAGTCTATTAAGGTGTTACAATTATGGACATTTATAAGGTAAGATGTCATGGCTTCGAACTGTATCTTTAGATTTATTGTAAGGTAACTGGAGGCATGAGATCTGTTCTGAATGACAGTAAGCCCAAGTGATTTGATTGCTAGAGATAAAAGAAACATTAACAAGGAGCAGGGGTCGACATTCAGCCTGTCGCACTTGCTCCACCATTTGATACTATCGTATCTGATCACATCTCAGCCTCAACTCCATTTCTCTGCCTGCTCTCCACAGCTCTTCAACATATTACTAATTAAAGATCTACCTAACTCCTCCTCAAATTTAATCACTGTCTCAGCAGCCACCACACTCTTGGGTAGTGAAATCAATACGTACGTGATCCGTCACAAAGAAGGTTTAGATTGTGCTTTTGGGAAGACGGCGTGAAGTATTTTCCACTTGGCGACAACAGCAGCAGTGTTCTGAAAGTGGATAGACTGAAAGTTTCCAAAGTCCCGGAAAAATGCTGAGAATGGCAGGTTATAAACAAAGTCAGAAGTTACACAACAACAGGTTATAGACCAAAAGGTTTATTTAAAATCACAAGCTTTTGAAGTGCTCCCCCTTCGTCAGATGAAGTCGAGGGAGGCGCATGGGCACAGAATGTATAGGTGGAGAGGATAGTGGCAAGATAATTCCAGGTTAAAAAGATCATCTGCAAAGACTTGTTATTCAAAGCCTGTTGACACTCTTAAGTGCCTCGAATTATCTTGCCAATATCATTCCACCTACATATTCTGTGCCTGTGCACCTCCCTCCACTTTACCTGATAAAGAAGCAACGTGCCAAAAGCTTGTGATTTTAAATAAACTTGTTGTACTATAATCTGGTGTCATGTGACTTCTGACTTTGGCCACCCTAGTCCAACACCTGCATCGCTACATCAAAGTTATAAATAGTCTGCTTCAAACCACCCATATAGTGTTAAGACAAGAGAGACCTGGGCTTGCAAGCGTAGCTATTTAAAGTTTCTATTAAGATACAGGCTTAGACGATTCACATTGCAATGTGAAAAAGGTGCAGCTGAAACAAAAGTAAAGATCAGGTAAGTTACAGGTTTTTCTGAAATATCACCAAATCTCGCAGTGTTTTGGCTGAATGTCTGGATCCAAGAGAGGGAGCAGCTCGAGACCAAAGAAATCTCCATGGATTGCTGCATAATAACAACACACAAGTTATTGTAGTTAACAACTTGTGCTTGGATTGAAAAGACCAAATTCATGGGGAGTTAAAATGAAGATGAAACAGTTCGCAGCTTGAGCAAGAGGGAGAATCTTCTGGATAAGAAAACCTAATACAGAAAAATTCTAAGATTGCGAGTTACCAGGCTGATCAAAGAAAAGTACAAGAATAAACCCTCAGGAACTAAGAACTACTTAGGACTGATTGTCGGAAAAGTGCATGTCCATGTAATTGGCAAAGTGAAGGATATCTGACAAGTGTTTTCTTCATTTAGGCTAAAAATAAGAAGGGAAGCATTGTGTTCTGTGGTTGAAAGGTAGTGTTAGTTGAGAGAGTTTTGGTCATTTATTACAGTAAACAACTTTAAACATAAAACTGATGTATTTTTTCAGCTATTAACTGGAAGTTCAAATTAAATAAAACATTATTGGTCTCTTCGGGGATCACAATGAAGGGCAATCTAATAAGCCATGTAAATTAAATTACATATTTTCAAACGTTACCACAAAATTATCAGTGTCCTGGAGTAACTGACACTCAGAGTGCTTATGATAGTTGCTTGAACAAGGCTCAAGGTGAGCAGCTTTTAAATTAGTCCAATCACAACACACATTGGGTTGGTAAGAGATATGTTACTTCGGTTTTGCTTTCTTCACAGATTACAAGTACGGTGGCACAATAACGGTCAAAATGCTCTCTATTCTGAACTACGGTGATGTGTCCTTGGTTGAAGGATTATGTTGAAATCATGGCAACATCACTGAATTACCTGTAGACAATTAGAATAAATCAGCACCTACAATACAAAAAAATTATTCACTCAGCAGGGGAAGCAAAAGATATGTTTACAAGGACTTTGTTGAAATCTTAAAATGTTTCCTGTTCCTTGCTCATCTCCCATTTCAGGCTAGTGAATATCTGCATCAGGCACTCCTAATCTTAAACAATACAACTAAATGCCAAGTAAACCTCTCCATCTCTGGTCCAAGCTTACATCATTCCCAGTCTGAGTGGCTCCTGTTGCATGTGTGTGTCATTCATCCATTTTCCTATGCATTAAGTAAGCTTTGTACCTATCCATTTGTGCTGAATTGAGAGCCATTTTGTGCTAAAGGAAGTAGATTTAAAATATTTAAGTTCCTTTCATCCTACTGGGCAACTGCAATCACAAAAGATTCTTTCACCAATCTGAAACATTAACTCTAGTTTCTCTGTCACCAGATTCCGTCTGATCTGCACAGCAACTAGCTACTTCTGCTTTCACTTTCGGAAAGTGTGCATTGAGGATCACGGCTTGTATTTTCTGGTGCCATGAGATGATCTTCAGCCGTAGTGAGAGAACTCACTCAATATCTAACAGTTGTTACTGTTGCAGGTCTTATACACCCTCTTCGGATTGTCCTTTCAATTGGTTGCCTCATTTTCACTCAATACCGATATTTTCTTTCAGGATTCCTCCAGCTGTACTAATATCACTCCACTCCTAGTGCCAAGATTGGATGGATGGAGGATAAGATAGACAGAGAATGTGATTCATGACTGACTTCCAATACCATATCAGAGAAAAGCCAAGTTGAAATTTTCCATTGTTGATTCCTCCATTCATCAGGATAATTCATCTAAACCATCGTTCACAATAAATGCATGCTTAAAAATACATTTCCAATAAAATGAATGCATTAATCTCAAAATTTAACTGCAAGTTAGTGAAAGCCTTCATTATCATGTCCACAATTATAATTTCAGACTATAACAAACTTTTTTTAACGTGATTCAGGAACTTTGCCATTTTAATTAATTTCACTGACAAATTCTCAAAATATTGAAACTGTTAGCGTTACTTGTGAAACTGTAATAAATTGGTTAACTATGATGTGGAGTAGATCATTTGGAACTTTAACTTCCAGAATGATGTGGCCTTAAAGTATAATTGTATAAACTACCATTTCATCGTAGCCTCTGTTAACAGATCAGGTCCAATAATTGAAATTTTACAAAACTAAAGATATCTTTTTCTACCAGGGTTTAAACAGTAAAACTGAGGGTGATAAATCACACAACAGTCTATGTAAACAACCCTGGCAAATTGTTCCTGAAGAGAGCCAAAATTAATGTCAAATCTCCGTAAATGCCATAGCAACTTCATTTTTCATCTTTCAGTTTTTGTTCTATTCATTAATGAGATGGGCATGTCACTGTCCAGCTTTTATTGTCCAATGCTCCGAAGGAGGTGGTGGTCAGCTGCTTCTTGAATTGCTGCAGTCAATGTGGTTAATATTCTCCCAAAATGCTATTAGATAAGGAGTTCTAAATCAATCCCCAAATGGAAATGTGTATTGTTGAAAAATGGACACATTTTGTCAAAGCTTTTCGCCTTGAACTTATCAGGACATTTACAGAAGTACTAATGTAAAGAGGAACAACATTTTAGACTGAATGAAAAGTGAAAGATAAATAGTTGGCAAACTGCCTGATTGGTAGAGGTGCTGATATATAGAAAGCACCCATGAGCAGAGGAGTGACGATTAATTTCCGATCTTTGTTTGAATTTAAACTAGGCAGTTTGGTTTTGATTTGTCACGGCATTAGATATGATTTCCATGATGCACAATGTTTACTAAATAATCCTGAGTGGGCCAAAATTGCACTGACAACCAATTTTACATTGTCAGTTTGTCACACAGTGTGGCATGGATGTGTGTACTGGAAGCCACATATATTAACATGCAAGGCTTTGGCGTTTGCAGACAGAACGAACACACGCACATTTTCGCCTGTTTCAACTTTTGAAAATAGTGACAGTCGCTCTCTGGTTCATTCTTCATTTCAATGCTTTGTCCTGAATGCTGTCAAGCTGCTTAAATATTGTTTGAATAGCATCCAGGCAGCTGTAGTGTTCCATTATACTACATTTGTTCCATATAGATGGTCGAAAGTCTTTAGAAGTAAATAATCGAGTTACTCATTGCAGAATGTACAGTCTCTCTCCTGGTCTTCAATTAATTCTTTAATTCCCTGGATGTTGGCGAGGAACGCCAAGTTAAAGTGGCTAGAAACTCTCTTCTATACAGCTATTGTATGATATAAACATTATAAGATCAGGCACCATAAAACGTAGGACCAGAAGGAGGCCATTCAGCCCACTGTGTCTGCCCTGCCATTCAATGAGATCATGGCTGATTCGATAATCTGATAACTCCAATTTGCTGCTTTTTTCCTATAACCTTTGATTTGCCTCAGTGATCAAAAATCTTTTTACCTCAGCCTTGAATATACTTCGCGACTCAGCCTCCAAAGCTCTCAACAGTAAAAAGAGCTCTACAGATTGACTAACCAGTGACAGAAGAAATTTTTCTTATTTGCATTTTTTAAAAAATCAGCAACCTCTTACTCTGACATTATGCCCTCTGGTCCTCGACTCTGCCAGAAGGGGATACAACCTCTCCACACCTACCCCATCAAGACTCCCAAGAATCTCATATATTTCAATATGGTCACCCCT